GCAGGCAGCCAAAACTGGCACAGCCCTGCTGCTGATGCACACGGTCCCAGCACAGGTGCCCGTGACGGGCCGTGGTCTCTCCTCTGTACCTGTGCTCTGGCTGTGTGCTTAGCTCAGACCTGCCTTCCATCCTCCCACCCTACTATCTGCCCACCAACTGCGCAGGGCGGCCAGGAACACTAAGCCCAGGGTGAGGGACACTGAGCCGGGAAAGCAGGGAGGGCTGCCTGGGAGTGGAGGCCAGCAGGTGCTGCCCCATCACTCCCAGGCCTGTGGCTGTGGCTTTACCTCCCGGAGCCTTATTCCTTCATCTGTAACTTGGTGGTCCCTGCGCCTGCATCACCCTGGATTTAGGTCTGGAGGGGGGTCACCAGCCCTGCCCCTCTGTGTGGGGATAGTGGTGCCTGCTACAGCGGGTTGAGGGGCGGGGGTTACCTGGGAGGACAGCGGTTGACCCGTGCTGGGGAGGTGCAGGCGGAGACGGTGGCTCCCTGGTGACAGAGCTGTGAAGTCCCAAGTGTGCTCTGCAAGGCTGCACACCTGCTTCGTGCCAGGTACGTGTGGGCGCTCCACCTGCCCGTCCAGGCGAGTCCTGGGCGGGAGGAGGGAGAGGAGCAAGTGTGAGCCTCAGGGGAGGGGTCGCTCTCGGGCGCCTGTGAGCCCCCCCCCCCCGCCTCTCCCCGAGGCCCCTGGGAGGAGCCCCCACCCTGGGCCACAACGACCCCTCCTGACAAAGCCAGAGAAGGGAATTGACTCGGGCAGGCGGCCCCGTGGGGACCTCGGCTGACTGTGGAGCCCTCAGATGCTGGCTGATGCCCCTCGTCCCGGAGGAGGCCCCGAGCACCTGCCACAGAGCCGGGGTGGGGGGGATCCCCAGGCCAAGCAGGAAGTGATGGGGCCTTGCTGAGGGAGAGCGGCTGGGAGGGAGGCAGGTGGAGTCAGGCCCGGTGTCCCCGGGTGCTGATGCGTGCCTCTGTATGTCTCTGCGTGTCGTCGTGTATGTCTGCGTGTCTCTGCGTGTCCCCGTGTGTCACTGTCTGCCCCCGTGGAGATGGTGAAGGTCACAGAGGGTGCGCAGAGCAGCTCCCTGACCGTGCTTCTAAACTCCACCCTGTCACCCACCAGGCCTGCAGCCCCGCCCCGGAGCACTGCCCGCCCGCTGTCCAGGAGGCAGCTCTGGGGCGTTGCCGCTGGCCCCCGACGCCCCTTCATTGGCCTCCTCTCTTCCCTGCCTGCCTGACCTCTCCACGCGCATCTGGCCTCCTGGAATCATCTCCCAAACCGTCTCGTGAACTTGGTTCCTCGTCTTGGGGCTGCTCCAAGGCACCCAGCCCAGGCCGCCAGACCCTGGGGGCCGGGTCATGTGCACAGGGGGACGCTCCTGGGAGCTGCTGCGGGGGAGGGGGAGGGCTTGAGAGCCGAGGAGGCCACCGGGAAGGGGCCAGCCCAGGGGTCCCCAGTTCTTAACAGTGTGGAGGGGGTGTGGGACGTCATTTTGCCAGGGTGGTGAGCAGGCCAGGAAGAGGGTGTGGCCTGGCTGCTCCTCTGGGCTTCCCAGAAGGCAGGGGGGCCTGGCAGTCAGCGGCAGGAGCAGCAAAGGGGCCGTCCACCGGCTCGGCCGTCGGGAGCGCGCCTCTCTGAGGACACGGCCCGGCCAGCCCAGCCTGGGGTCCCTTTGTGTTGTTCCTGCCCACAGGCAGCCACGCCGGGGATGATGTCTTGCTCCCTCGGGACTGCAGTCCTCATTACGGGAAACCCTAGGATTAATTTAATTACATGCTCGCTGCACAGCGCTCCGGCGCCCAGGCGCCCAGCGGGGCCCGGAGCGCTGGGGCTGCCGGGAAGGGGGCTCTTTCTGGGGAGCCAGGCCCGTGCTGGGCTCTGCCTGTGCCCATGACCCGCGGGGACCGGATGGCGTGGACTGCAGTGCTGGGGGGCGGGGCACGAGCCGGAGGTGCCATCACTTCATCCACTGTCTGTCTTTATGGAAAAGAGGTTCGCTGGCGCACCCTGTGTTCCCCCCACAGCGTTCAGGAGAGACCCTGCCGGGGTCTCACTCGCGGCTGTGGCTGCCTGGACACCGGCTATGGCCGCCTGGACACCGGCAGGCAGCGTTCTTCGTAATTCACACTGTTTGGCGTAGATTCCGCTGGAATGACTGGGTGGTCTAAAACATTTTGAAGACCGTTGCATTGTTCTCCAATTAAAAAGGAGACAAAGCCCAGCAAGCGCAGTGCTCTGACCCGTGTAGCCCAGGGGGAGGGGCTGGGGGACCCGAACAGACGGCTGTAAGTGGGGCAGCTCCTGGTCTGGGGCCGTGGCCGTGGCCTCTGGTCTGGCCCTATAGGGAGGGCCGCCTAGGTGCTGGCTGCGGGCGGGTGGAGCGTTGTTGGGTGGCTTGTGGGCTGGCCCCAGCTGTTCTTTTCTCCTGGGGCTGGCTCTGTCCCCCTTGCTGCCGTCCTGGGAGGTGGTGGTCGACCTGCTGAGGCAGGAGCAGGTGCAGCTGCGGGTGGGGTGCTAAGGCTGAAGGGCAAGTCGCCCACGTGGGTCCCAGGCCCGGAAGGGGCCTGCCGGGAGCTGTTTGCTAACCCCACTGAAAACAGCAGAGCAGATGGCCCTGCGGCCCGCCTGCCTTGCGCATGGTTCCGTGGCTGCACAGGGCATCGTGCCAGTCGGGGCAGTCTCTGGCCACCGGTCACGATACAGGGCTGGATCCTCCTCTTGGCTCAGGATCTGCTGGGGCGGGACTGTGGGGATCCGGGAGGGGTGGGGGCCGTCTGAGTCCCTGCAGCTCCTATGCAGGGCTTGGTGCCAGAGCAGCTGGAGACTCTGGGTCCCAGGGCTGACCTGCGGGACAGCCCAGTTGGGGGCAGAGGGGCTGTAGGTCCCCTCCACGTTGGGGGGGCACCCTGTTCCTGTGGCTTCCTCATCTGGGGTGTGGGGGCGTTGGCTGCACGTCCCTGCAGGGGCTCAACGAGGTGCTGATGCAGGGGGAGCCAGGTGCCACATCGGGGAGGGAGACCACCTGGGGTCCTCCTCGAGCTGGGGGCCCTTGGGCTGTACCTGGTCCCCTGCTGTCTACAGGGGCTCCAGGGCCACCCTGTAAGCAAGAAGGCTGGACATAAAGCCGGGGCCCAGGCTGCACCCCGTTTCCCACCAGCTCACTCGTGCACACAGGTTTGGGTGTGGTGGGCACGGGAGCTGCGTGGCTGATGAGGAAACAGGCCAGGGAAGAAGGGCCTGGGGCACGGACTGCGGAGGGGTGTGAGAGCCAGTTGTGCCGCTGCGGCCCCTGGGACTGGCCTGCGTACCTGGCCAGGCGCAGTGCACAGGGCTGAGAGGAGCGGTTCCTGCCTGCGTCGGTCCCGTGTCCCTGGCTCCCCAGACGTGCTGGGCACAGCCACTGCAGCTCTTGGAAGCTTGTTTGCTTCTCTCATCTGGAGCTCCCGGGGCTGGGTGGTGAGGCTTGAGCCACGGGCTGGGCTCCCCACGCTGCCGCCCCGTGGAAGGTGCAGGGTGGGAAGACGGCCAAGAGCCAGCCTTGCCGGGGAGCCGCCCTCCCAGCCTCTCTGGAAGGCTCCACATTCCTGAGGGGTGACTAGCAAGACTGCAGGAGGAGGGCAGAGCCTGGCTTGTGCAATTCCCAGGGGTGAGACACCCTAATTCCTGCCCAGGGCTGGGCCAGGCACTCCTAGGAGAGTGGGTGGGGCTTCTTGGGGGCTTTTGGGGGAGCTTGGGGAACACAGTGACCCATAGCCGCCAGGCAGGGGCCCAAGGGAAATAGGCGCCTCTGTGGGCTGTGGGCAAGCCCCTGTGTGGGGCCCGGGCCAGGCTGTTTCTGTCCTGCAGGGCACCGGTGGCCCCACGTCTGCTCTTCTCTTGAGCCTGTGGCTTAGAGGGACAGGGCATGGCAGCCACAAAGCACATGAGCAGAGCTCACCTGGGGTCCTGCTGGCCGCCGGCTGGGTGTGTCCGGCACCTCATTATTCCCATGCTGGCTGTGGAGTTCCTGGCTTGTCCCCAGCAACACCCACACCCCTTCTGCCCACCCAGTTGGAAGCCCAGGGGCTCTTGGGGGATTTGACCCCCAGTTTTGGATGAAGGATCTGACATCCAGTGCCTTGTGTGACCCAGGAAGAGCCAGTGTGCTGTGTGGGGACAGCGACAGGTGGCAGGGGTCTGGCTGTGTGACCTCTGGTGAGAGATGGAATGGCCTGTTCCTGCCAGCAGGGGGCGCCAGGGGCCAGAAGGCCTTGGGACAGGCCCTGCTGCCCATCCTCCTTCCTCTTCCCAACCTGCCAGCCCCTCTGCCCACTGTGGCCCCGGCCTCTGCCCAGGGGGGCTCCTTTGTCCCAGCCTGGCCTGCCGTGGAGGGGCTGCTTCATGGCCCTGCTCTGCTGGCTGAGCAGGTCCCAGATCCTGGGGGTGGGGGGGCGGGAGCAGGCTGGGGGTGCAGCTGGGGTTGTGCCTGCTTTCCTGACGTGAAAGATGAGGGAGGTCATGGTGGCCTCCACCTCCAACTGGTGGCCTGCCTGTCTGTCTGGCCTCCCTTGGTCCTCACTGAGAAACGGGGACCCTCGGCTGGGAAGTGCCCCCGTGGCTCGGGCCAGCACCTGGCTCCTGCTTGCGTTGGTCTGAGAGTCACGCCTGTGGCATCTGCTGCTCCTTGTCCGTTGTCTGCAGGAGCTCCGGGTCGTGACCGGCTCTCCTGGGTGTCAGGTGTGATGGAGCAGAGGTGACCTGGCAGGCTCAGGAGCCTCAGTTTCCCCCACTGGACCGTGGGCTGCCCCGGCTGTGTCTGTCAGAGCTCTTTGGGGGCCTGACACCTCTGGGGAGCCCAGGACAGGTGGGAAGAAGCTGTGGCCACCTTCCTGCCGGTCCAGGAATCAGACTGGTGGCCCACAGCGAGGGGACGGGTGGGGGCTGGGCTCAGGTTCTGCCACGGAGACGAGTCGAGCCTGCACCGGCTAACGCATCCTCCCCTTCCTCTGTCCTTGCAGATCCGTCGTCCACCTACGTCAGGCAGCTGGAGTCCAAGGTGAAGTTGCTGGAGGGTGACAAGTTCCCGGCACAGGTACACTGGCTGTGGCGGCGGCCGCTACCCCTGGGCTCCCCTTCCAGGGCCCCCTCCATCCCAGCGGCACGTGGTCCCCACAACTGCCCCCCACCCGCACCCCCACCCGAGTCACCTCCTGGAGAGCCAGGGCTCCCAGCCTCGTGCCCTCTGTCCCAGCCCTCCCTCGCCCACTGCCTGACTGGTGGGCAGAGAGCGGTGGAGGGAAGGACGGCTTCACCCTGTGGCAGATGGGGGCTCGGGGAGAGAGGCGGGGGAGAAGGCGTGTCTCAGGACAGTGGATAGCACCGCCCCCTGGGGAGCACGGGTGACTGCCCAGGCCGGGGCCAGCCCTGCTGGGGAGGGGAGGCGTGGTCAGCCCTGGTTGCTGGAGGCTGGCCCGGGCTTAATCTCAGCCGCCTCTTCCTGCCTCTTGCCCAGGACACCTGAAGGGGTTCTCTGGGAACCCAGGGATGGCTGGCCCCATCGTTAGGAGGCAGCCGGCCACGCTTGGTGCAGCTGCTCCACTTGGGAAGCCCGGGTACCTTCAGACCCCAGCCCCAACCCTGCGTGCTCGCAGCTCGCCCCCCTCACCCCTACCACGTGGGCCATGTGGACGTTGTCCAGAGCCTGGCGGGAATCAGCAGGTCATCCTCCCTGTCCTGCACCCCCCCCAACTAGAGTACATGGTCAGGCATTTAACTACAAGGCTGGATTCTGTCTTGTTACATGTTCCGTGTCGTGTGTCACATGTTACACATTCCATGTTACTTGTCACGTGCTATGTGTTGGTTTCAGGGGCTGCATGGCAGAACGGCTTTGGAGGTGCTGGAGAGAGCGCAGAGGGCTGGGGGTGGGCTGGGGGTGGGGCGCCCTGTTCCATGTGGGCCTGGCCTGGGCGGAGCCTGGTTGCTAAGGAGGCAGCACTGAGAGGAGACAGGCCCAGTCTCATAGGACCCCTCCCTCCCTCCCTGGGGAACCCCCAGCCTCATAGGACCCCTCCCTGGGGAACCCCCAGCCTCATAGGACCCCTCCCTGGGGAACCCTCAGCCTCATAGGACCCCTCCCTCCCTGGGGAACCCCCAGCCTCATAGGACCCCTCCCTCCCTCCGTGGGGAACCCCTCCCTCCCTCTGTGGGGAACCCCCAGCCTCATAGGAGCCCTCCCTCCCTGGGGTACCCCCAACCTCATAGGACCCCTCCCTCCCTCCCTGGGGTACCCCAGCCTCGTAGGAGCCCTCCCTCCCTCCCTGGAGAATGCCCAGTCTCATAGGACCCCTCCCTCCCTCCCTGGGGTACCCCCAACCTCATAGGAGCCCTCCCTCTCTCCCTGGGGTATCCCAGCCTCATAAGGAGGCCTTCCAAGCATGGCAGCATTGGTCCACTTGCCCCAGAGGTGGAGGGGGGCGGGAGCTGAGCCCTGAGCCCTGAGCTCAGGGAGGGGTCAGCTGGTTGGGCAGGGAGTGGTTCTGCCTGGGGCTCTGTCCCTCCCTGGTGGGCTCCCTGGAAGCAGCGGCGATAGGTTCTGTCCACACTGTCCCCCGGACCTGTGCCCGTGCCCTGGGCCAGGCTTCCTCGGGGCAGACTTTGGATCCCAGGTCCATCTAAGGGACCCGCTGACCCTGGCTGTACCCAGGCTTGCTGGCTGCGGTGGTCAGCCGGGCTTTGAGGCCACGAACCTGCTCTTCTCCAGCTTGCTGCTGGGGACTCGGAGCGGAGCCGGCGCAGGAAGTCCCGGGTGTGTTGTGTCTCCGTGGGACTTTGCTTTCTCCCCCTGCGAAGCCTGGCTCCAGCTTCTTGCTGGGACCCACCATGGCAGCCCCTCTGTGTTGTGGGGGATGGGGGCCGGACACCCAGGTCCCGTCCCACAGCATGGGGGTCTTGCCCAGGTCTCCCAGCAGGTGGTCAGGGAGCACCCTGAGAAGGGGGCAGCCGGGGGGTGCATGCCTGCCTGCCCTGTGCCCAGGCTGCAGTGGAAGGGCTGGCTCTGGACCTCACAGCAAAGCCCCGGGAGCCTCAGGGGTCAGCACAGCCACAGGGGTCTCCAGAATCCGGGGGGGCTCCTGCCGGCCGTGCCACCCGCAGCTGCCTGCCCTAGCCTGGAGGGCACAGCGTTCCCAGCAGGCAGGAGAGACACGGAGAGATGGGCCCCCTGCCGCTCAGCTCCTTCTTGGGCTCCCGGGTCAGGCATCACCCTGCGGTCTCCCTGGCCATCCCAGGTACCCCCGCGCCTGCTCAGAGCTCTCTGGGTCCCTGGGCTGCCCTCCTTTGCGGATGGGGTGTCGTGACCAACCCTGTGGGTGCCAGCCCTCATCCCTGCTGGCCTCTGGGCTCCTGGCGCACGGGGTGGCAGGGTCTGAATGGCCACATAGGTGTCTCCAGAGCTCAGCACCCGGTCTCCTAGGCCGAGAGGGGAGGGAAGCCGATCCTTACTGCTTCAGCAGGTAGTGAGGGGACCGTCTTTGGAGGTAATCAAGTGATGGCTGACGTGAGCATTTGGAAATCTTGGAGAGATGGCATTCATGAGAGGGGTGCGGGGTGCTGCCCTCAGCCTCTTGGGCTGTGGCCTGGGGGCTTCCCTGTTACCCTGACTCTCAGATCTCAGCCATGAAACCCCAGCTCCATTCACAAATGGCAGGAGGAGCAGGCAAGGGGCGGGGCCTTGGGGTGTGGGTGGGAGAGCCTCCCTGGTTCCCGCCTCCCACCCCTGCCCCCATGGCCTCTATTTAGCTCCAAAATAGCTTTCATTAAAAACGCACCCAGGCCGGCGCTGCGGCTCACTAGGCTAATCCTCTGCCTAGCGGCGCCGGCACACTGAGTTCTAGTCCCGGTTGGGGCGCCGGATTCTGTCCCGGTTGCCCCTCTTCCAGGCCAGCTCTCTGCTGTGGCCAGGGAGTGCAGTGGAGGATGGCCCAGGTGCTTGGGCCCTGCACCCCATGGGAGACCAGGAAAAGTACCTGGCTCCTGGCTCCTGCCATCGGATCAGCGCGGTGCGCCGGCCGCAGCGCGCCGGCCACGGCGGCCATTGGAGGGTGAACCAACGGCAAAGGAAGACCTTTCTCTCTGTCTCTCTCTCTCACTGTCCACTCTGCCTGTCAAAAACAACAACAACAACAACAACAACAACAACAACAACAAAAACGCACCCAAGTGTTCGCAGGCTGAATTGCTGTATCGCAGGTCGTGTTTGTTGTCTCATGGCGGCCCTAGCATTTCATTAACGCAGCTGCTTCCTCCGGGGGTTCAGCCCGGCACTCTGCGTGTTATCCCCCTCCGATCCCCTCGCCCTGCCTGCTGGGGGCTGGGGGCGGCTGTGACTGGCCGTGGGGCCTCCCCTGCTGGGCGGATAACTGGAGCCCACGAGCCCCTGGGATGTTCTGTGTGTCTGTCTGGCGGGAGGCCGTGGTCCAGGCCGGTGAAGGGACCCAGCCCCCTCGCCTCTACTCCCACCCCTTCCCACCGGGCCCTCAGGGTGACCCCGGCTCTGTGCCAGCTGCAGATGGGGTACTGAGGGCGGGGTGGACGAGATTCCCTGGCACGGACTCCGTGTTAGTTTGCCAGGGCTCCTGTGTCGGAGATCCACAGTCCGGGGACCCTGAACAGCTGGAGCGTCCTCCCTTGGTCCTGGAGGCCCTGAGTTCAAGGTGAAGGTGTCAGCAAGCTCTTCCCATCCGAGGCTCTGCCCCTGGCCTGCAGATGCCGCCGTCTGTGGGTGTCCTCCCCCGCCTTCCTCCTTTGTGTGCCCGAGTCCCCGGGTCTGCTTTCCCTGGGGACGGGGTGCTGTTGGAGCAGGGCCCGCCCCAGGGATCTCATTTCACCTGCGTTACCTCTGCAGAGACCCTCTCTGCTCAGGACTCCCGCATCCGTGTCAGAGTGCCGGGTCACGTCCAGCTCCTCGTACGCGTCACGGGAGGCAGCAGGTGACGTCACGAGTCCTTGACACCCACGGGAGACCTGGCCTGGATGGAGTTCCCAGAGCTGGCTGTGGCCGGCATGTGGGGCCTGAGCCAGCAGGCGGAAGTGGCTGTCTCGCCTCTGTCGCTCTGTCACAAGTGCTGTGATGTCTGGCTCTGGAGGGCGATAGATGCTGGCTGTGCAGAGCTTCAGAGTCCACCCCTACCCGGCCGTGGGCAAGCAGGTGGTCAGCCCAACACTACGGGCAGAGGAGAGGCTCAGCCACTGTCACCTGTGAGCCGGGCTGAGAAACCGCAGAGCCACCGAGCCCGTTCCTGCCAGCTCCACCACCCCTGCCTCAGTTTCCCCAGCTGTAAAGTGGGACTGTTTGTGGGTGGTGTCCGCCCCACGCGTGGTTCAGAGATGAAAGTGCAGTTGTGGGCTGGTGGGTGGGGAGCGTTGTGGGGTGGCCGTGGTGCTCTGGCCTTTGGGCTCTGAACTGAACCCTGGGTGGTCGGGGGCGGCTTCAAGGTTCCCAGCCGAGGTAGGGTACTTTGCAAAATGCCCATCCGCCCCCTTCCAAAGTGCCCAGCCCGCAGGCCTGCTCCTCTCTTCCCCTGCCAGAACAAGTACTGGGCCTGCGGGGACCCACAGAGGGTAACAGTCTCTGTGGGGGTGGGACCCGGCCAGTGTGTCACCCCCTCCGTCCTGGGCCCCCTGGTCCCGGTGGCTCCTTCACCTGAGTTGGAGAACTGAGACAGGGCGTGGGGTGCAGGGGAGGCTGCAGTGGCAGCCGTGGAGAAGTGACAGAGTGACACCAGCCACATGGTCACCTTGTCAGCGCCCAGTGTGAGCGCCGACCCCTAACGGCCCTCACTGGAGTTCTCGTGGGGGTGAAGAAAGAAGGGAGCAGACGCAGTTGGTATGAGCGGGTGGCTCTTGGCAGGGGCCCTGCAGCCTACTGTACCCCGTTGTCCCCTCTGAGCTGGCTGGGATCGGGGGGTGCCTCTGGGCCAGTGCCCCCACATCCAGGGCCTCTCAGAAGAGCTGCTTTGCCCTGGAAGGGCCGTGTGAGCTTTGTGGTACACCCTGAAGGAGGCAGGCACCCTAGGGACGCAGTGCCCAGGGCGTAGCGGGCGCTCAGCTGGCCCTCATTGTGTCTGGGGGCTCCGTGCATCACTTCGGTGACCACCCCTACGCCACGGGCATGGGCACCCTCTCCAGCCGGCCGCGGGCGTGGGCACTCACTGCAGCTGGCCGCGGGCGTGGGCACCCTCTCCAGCCGCCGAGGCCCCGTGGCTTTGCACCGTGGAAGGCCGTGCCGTGCCGGCGTGTTCTGGGTGACGCTGTTCTCTCTCCTTCTAGCTGCCCTTCCCCTCCAGGCGCCCGAGGAGCTGGCTGCAGGTAGAGCCGCTGGTGTGACTGCGTTTGCAGTGGTGCGGGGGTGGGGGGCTGTTCTGAGTGCCGTGTGGCGTGACTGCTGTGTCCCCGGCCCTGTGCCTTCCTGGGGGCTGGCGTTGGTTTCCAGCTCTGCAGACAGGACAGCAAGCCGCCCACCTGCTGCTGACCCCTCCCGCCGTGCACTGGCACTGCCTGCTGTGTCAGCGAGAGTCCTGCGGCGGGCAGAGCGGGCGGAGCTCCTGGCTGTGGCTGCCCTGGAGCCAGGCTCCCCGACCGCAGTCCTGGGAGCCAGTGCGAGTGACCCTGTGTGGGGCACTGTGCTGGCCTCAGCGGGGAGGGGCTGGGCCCATGTAGCTGGAGCCTCGGCCGCTGCCCCTTGATGGCTTCCTCTCTCTCCCCTTCTCCCAGTCCTGGGGCTCGCTTTGTTCGAGGGTTTCTTGCTTCCTTGCTGTGGCCCCATGGAGCTGGGGAATTCCGTGTCACGGGCGCTGTTGCAGGACACGCAGCAGCCTGTGTGGTTGGCACCCACTTGATGCCAAGAGCACCACTCCGGGTGACGGCCAGATGCCTGAGGGCCACAGGGGTGCAGGCACGCTTCGCTGAGCCAGCCCCTGGCTTGGGACCGTCCAGCCATGGTGGACAGGACACTAACAAGGTCGTTGCAACGTGCAGCGTGAGCTGAGCCCACAGCCATGACTGACTGCCCCCCTACCCCGCTTGCCCCCTCCCCAGCCGGGAGCCACCTGCTGCCGAGGGTGAGGCTGCGGCTGTGCCCCCGCCTGGTTCTGGACCTGGCCATGCCTGGCCTCCCAGCCGAGCCGGTGGGTACCCTGGAGGTTGCCGGGGAAGAAGCGCCGCGCAGGTGCCCCGGCCTGGGAGAGCGCTCGCTACCCTGCCCCTCTGCGAGTGGCAGCGGCTGAGGGCCAATCCACAGTCGCTCGGGATTCCCCTTTGGTGGGGCCCTGCTGGACTGAGCAGTCACTAAGCCGAGCCGAGCCCGCAGCCCGCAGCCCAGCCACTTAATCCTCCCAAGCAAGGGGCCCCAGTGGCTGGGCCAGGGAGGTGGGAGGTGTCCGTGTCTGGCACCCGCCTCTGACAGTGTTCTCTGGGGTTTTTATCCCCCTGAGCCCTGTGACAATGACAACGTTGCAAGCAGGACTCTGAGAATGGGAGGCGGGAAGGCAGCAGCCGGTGGGTGGAGGAGCCGCTGGCGTTGTGTGCTAGGCCGGGACAGGGAAGGGAGTAGCTGGAGGTGACCCAGTGGGCAGCGTGACTGCGCAGCCCTGGACCGAGGCCTCGGTGGAGTGGGCGCTGCAGCCGCCGGTCTTTCCTGGCCCACAACCCTCTTGCTGCCTTCCGGATGCCCTACACGTCCTGCTCGGTGTGGGAGATCTCCCTTCCCCCTCCCTGGGCCCGGGGACCCACCCTGGGGGCAGCACCCAGGCGCCTCCCTGCACTCCTACGCCACGCGCTGCCTCCACGTGCACACCCATCCCCACAGTGATTTCGGTGCAGCTTGCCCTCAGCCGAGGACCCCAGGATGGGCCCGCACGGGGCTCAGGCGGCAAACCGCAGGATTCTTAATTTGCAGTAATGGTTCCTCATTTGATGCATAATTAGCCACACTGCTCCTTAATGAGAGTGCGCATTTTCCTCGCCTGGCTTTGTGGCTTGCTAATAAAGTCCTATGGACATGCAAATATTTACAGATGCGCTCAGAATTGCCTGCTGCTAATTAAAAAATGCCCCCAGCCCACGCGCACAGCCCCTCCAAGGAAACGATCTGGGGCCCGTGTTTCCTGTGGCAGCCCAGGGCAGGGAAGCTGTGGACAAAGCGAGGCTCGAGCCCAGAACAGCCTCCCTGGTGTGTGTGTGCGTCAGGACGGGAAAGGGCCCAGCTGTGGGCTGGTGGAGCGAGCGTGTGCATGTGTGTGGGGCCGCCCCTCCCTGAGCCATGCCAGGTGCCCTGCCAAATAGCACGGCAGGGGTGGGTGGGGAAGCAAGGCAGGGGTGTGTCTGCTTTGCTGCGCTCTGCCCTGGAGACGGATTTCTGACTGACCTGGGAAGATTGGTTTGGGATTTTTGCCTTGGAGTGGATCTGGGCAGGGAGGCTTGATAGCGGGTGGGCGCAGGGCTCTAGGGGTGGTGTTGGGGGGGGGGTCCTTCAGGCCAGGCCCTCTCTGGGTCGGGCAGTGTTAATGTCTGTGGCCCCTGTGGGCAGGGCCAGCTGGCTGGCTTTGTGGTTCAGGACCGAGACTTTGCGGTTGGTGCTGGCATCTGAAGACAGCCGTCTTGGGGGCCCGAGTGTCTCCCTGTGTCCTTGGATCTCAGCAGGATGGGGAGTGAGGGTGGCTGGGAAGTAGACCCCTACATGGGCTGCCTGTGTCAGTTGCGGGGAGCTCCCCGGGGTGCAGGCCCACCTGCCCTCCTTGCCTGGGTCCTCCCTGAGGCTAAGGAAGCAGCTCCCAGCACCACCCCCCACCCCGCCCTGTGCCTGCCCCACCCTTGAGCAGACACTGAGCCCCCTTCTGTGGCACCCCCCACTTGGGGTGGGGGAGGGGCTGCTCCACGCTTTCCCACTCCCTCTGCAGCCCCCACGGGCTCCCAACACCTGCCTTGTGCTGCCACCAAGACCCTCTGGACCTCAGCCCCGTGGGTGGGGCTGGCCCAGGGGTCCATGAGGCTGGGGGCCGTGAGGAGCGGGGTGGAGGAGGTGAGTGGGATGTGTGGGGGCCCCTCCCGGGCTGGTGAGCAAGGAAAGGGACCCCCAGCCTCCTGGAGATCCTGGCCCCCCGCCCGCGTCTTCCTGGTCTAGGAGAGGCTGTGTCTCCTGCCAGGCTGGGCGGGGAGGGAGTCAGGGCCGGCCCTTCATTCATTATTGCTCCCCTCCCTCGTTCATTCTCCTACGGGCGTGGGCGCTGGACTGCAGGGTGGCCCCGGCCCCTGCCCCTGACCCCTCCTCTCCCTGCACAGGGGGGCCCCGGAGAGTTCCGGACCCTGCGGAAAGGCTTCTCCCCCTACCACTCGGAGTCCCAGCTTGCCGCCCTGCCGCCGCCCTACCAGGACGCCCTGCCGAACGTAAGTGCCAGGCCCTAGGCTCTGCCGTCTCTGTTCAAGGGGAGAAGCCGTGGGGGGGTCTCTCTAACCTGGTGGTGCCAGGGCAGCTCTGATTTGGGGATCAAGCCCCGAAATCATCGGCCACGGGCTCCGCGGTGGTCCTCGGGGCTCTCATCCCAGCCCTGGCCTGCCCAGGATGGGAAGCGAGGGTGGCTGGGAGCCGGCTGGCTGGGAAGTGGACCCCTACATGGGCTGCCTGTGTGACAGTCGGGGGAGCTCCCCGGGGTGCAGGCCCACCTGCCCTCCTTGCCTAGGGAGCCTGCTGGCTCGCTTCCCTGCTGTTCTGCAGACAGTAAGGGTGCCGACCCGTAGGGAGCCTGGGGGGCTCCGTGCCCGCTCTGCTCTGCCATCTGCACTCCCCACCTCTGGGCCCCTCCCCGGCCTCACTGCAGGCAGGAGAGGGGCTGGGGCCATGGCCACAGCTCTGCTTGTGCCTTCTACTGTCTCTGAGGATGTGGCCATGGCCTGCCCTCACTGGGTCCGCAGCACCCCTGCTGAGCTGGGCCAGGCAGGTTGATTGATGACCAGGCTGCCTCCAGCTTCCCTCCCCTCTGTGCTTCAGGAATAAGCCCCTGGAGCTGAGGGTGCCCATGGAGCAGACGGGGACAGGAGGCTAGCGGTGCCAGGGCCAGCTGTTACGGGTTCTTTGGGACAGGGTGGCAGTGCCTGTGCTGCGCCCACAGAGAGCCACATCAGCTCCGGGAGATGCTTCCAACTGTGTGTGTGGCTGCTGCCCCCTGCTGGCCGATTTAGGGAATGCAGCCTCCTGTTCGGGGCGTGTCTCCCCATGCCCCTTCCCCAGGGAGAACCCCCTGGGTTTCTGCCTGGGCACCAGAGTTGGAGCAGCCTGGGCCACAGTTAGGGAAACAGCCGCAAGGCAGCACCTCCAGGGCTCCCACACACCTTGGGACGTGGAACACTCCGTCATCCAGATGGGGAACCTGTTCAGGCTCACGGGGACAGGGTGCTTCCTCAAGTCACAGACAGAACTGTGCCCAAGCCCGGCTTCCCCAGACCCCAAGGCTGTGTAGCCCCCAGAGCCTGGGCTGTGGGGCACCCGTGGGCGGTGCCCTCTTGTTGCATGGTCTCAGTGTCCTGTCCAACGTGAGCTGGTGGCTTCCCCTGCAGACCCATGGGCTGGGGGCCAGCACAGCCTGTCCTTGTCACCTCTGCCCTGGAAGGGACCATTTTACCCACAGGAGGGGAGGTGCGGAGCTGGCGGCGTTAACCCTGCCCGACCCAGCGAGGGTGCCCCCGTTCCCTCCTGCTTGGGCCCTGGCCCCGCACGGGGAGCCGCGGGTCACCTGGCAGCCAGCTGAGTGTGATTTCTTCCGCAGGGCCCGGCCTGCCCTGTGCCTGAGCTGCCCTCGCCTGCCTCTTCCGGCTACAGCTCTGCCGGACAGAAGCCCGAGGCTGTGGTGCATGCGATGAAGGTGAGGACGGGGGCGCCGGGCGTGCTGCGGGCTTGGCCAGGGAGCACCATGCCTCTCTGAGCTGGGGGCTTTCCTCTCCTGGGGGGTGGCTGGAGATGCGAGGCTGCCTGGAGCTCCCTCATGCAGGGACAGGGAGGGACCAGGAAGCCGACCCAGGTGTGCCACCTGTCGGTCACCCCGAGCCTCTGCAGCCAGGGAACTGAGGTCTGGGGCAGGGGAGGGCACAGAGTTGGGGCCGAACTGGGTCTGGCCTAAAGCCAGGGTCTCAGGCCCAGCCTTGGGCCTCCAGGAGCCAGCAGGTGGCTGTGACGAGGTGGCCGCATACACTGGCGTGTGGCCCCTCTCCTGTGCGTGCCTTCCTGCTGTGTGTGGGCTCCGAGGCCATCAGGCCCACTTGTGCACGGACACGCCCGCACGCCCGTACTTGGCCTGTGCCAGCAGTGACTGGTGCACACCTGGGGTCCCTGGGCAGGAGCGAGTCCCCCTGCCTGCCAGCCCTCCCCTCCCCACCACCGTCTGCACCCCCGTCTCCCACGTGATCCCAGCCCGGCCGCCGGTGCCTCTGCCCGTGACCTGTGACCTGTCCCCTTCAGGTCCTGGAGGTGCACGAGAACCTGGACCGGCAGCCCCAGGACAGCTGCGAGGAGGACCTGAGCGAGAAGGAGAAGGCCATTGTCCGTGAGATGTGCAACGTGAGTGCCTGTGGGGGCTGTGGCGGCCGCTGGCCCGGGACTGGTCAGGGCCACCAGCACGGCCACCTCCTTCCCTCCCTAGGCCTGTTTGTCGCCTGTCCAGCTAGGGCCGGCGGCTGGCCTGTCCTCGCCCTGAGGCCCCTCGCCCCAGGTCTGTCCAGATGTTCACCGCGGCGGGGTCTGGCCCCTGGGCTGCTGGGACCGCAGCTGGCCGTGCCTGGGCCTCTGAGCTGGGGCTGTCCCTCATGGCTGGGAGCTGGGCTGCCTCGGGTTTGCCCAGAAAAGCCTCTCCGCTCGCCACCCCAGCACCACGCCTTGCCTCAGGAGGCTGTGCGGAAGCCGGCGGGACGGAGTGTCTTGGGCAGCTGTGAGGGAGGCGGGCCTGGCCCCCCGCCATGTGCCCCTCCTGGCCCTGTGGTCTGAGCGGTGTGTGTGGGCCCATGGGTGGGCTCGGGGTGAGCCCTACACTCACGCCCTGTGCCCTGTTGCCCACAGGTGGTCTGGAGGAAGCTGGGAGACGCCGCCAGCTCCAAGCCCTCCATCCGGCAGCACCTGTCTGGCAATCAGTTCAAGGGGCCCTTGTAGGGCCGCTCTTCCCGGCCGTGGACTGGCACACCTGGAGCCCAGATGCCGTCTTCCTGCCTGGGGGCGCACTGTACATAGCACGCGGCGTGCCCCGGCCTTGCCAGGCCTCCATCTCCCGCCTCACTCACCAGCAAATCCCAAGACGAGAAGCTGCCGACCTGTCCGTCTCTGGGCCCCCAGCACCGGCTACGTTAGCGAGAGGCCCGAGGCTGCTGCTGCTGCTGCTGCTGCTGTGATGCCAGGCCCACGGACGGCCCCTGGCTCCGGGGCCCCGCCCTCCACAGGGGCCTTCACCAGGTCTCTACCCTGCTGCCCGCACAGAGACCGGCGCCACTGGAGCCTGGGTTCTGGCACAGTGGCACCCCCTCCACCAAGCCTTTCCCTGCCCTGGCTCCCTGAGCACTGGGCTCCCTACGTCCTGGACAAGGAAACTCACCAAGTCCCTGGCTGGCCACAGGCTGCTCTGCGGTTCCAGGCCCTTTCTCTGACCCCCCGCTGTGCCCAGCTGCCCTGCTGCTCACCCTCTGCCCCCCAAGACAGCCGCCCTCTCTGTAACGTCCCCTGCCCTGTGCCCAGGGCTCGTCCCTCGCTGTGGTTTACACGACGGGCCGGGGGCACCGGGCAGTCCCATGCAGTCTCTGAGCCGAGCCATGCGTTGTTTTCTCTGGACAGTAGCACTGGGCCACGGCTAGGCCTGTGGTCAGCTGTGGCCTCCCCCAGGGACCCGGCCACACCCTGGGTCACTGTGAACAGAGCCGTGGAGGTGCCGGTTCTGGCTTTAATTTGTTGAGTGACCTTCAGCAAGTCACTCAGCGTCTCTGGGCCCCGGAGGTCTCCATGGTTTCCTTCAGCCCTGCTCGAGGTTCGAGCCCACACAGGTCTAGTGGGCTGAGTCATGTTCACAGCCGTGGAGCCGATGGAGAGGCTGCTGGGGTGTGCTGGGCCCTAGCTGTGCCCTGCCGCCTGGCAGGCTCGTCGCGGGTGCCGTCACCTCCCCTCTGAGCCTCAGGGCTGTCGGCCACCGCCGAGGCGGCTCTGTGGGTTAGCTGTGAAGGGAAGGCAGGAACTGACACGTGAGGACGAGGCTGAGAGCGGGTGGTCGTGTGGGCAGTGAGAACGAGCTCCTGGGTCCTGGAGCCCTAGGACGGGCCGGGCCACCTCGCGCACACCGCTTCACCAGCCTTCCTCACTCTTCCATGGTACCGAGCGAGGTGCCCAGGGGCTGTGTGTGGCCGGCAGGTCCCATCTGGGCCCTTGTGAGGCCTGGGGACCAAGGCACGGGGGTATTCCCACTGTGTGTGCCTGCAGCACCCTTGGGTCCTAACTCAGGGGAAAGGCTCATGGCCCAGGGCGTGCTGAGTGGGCGCTGAACAGGGGACGGCCCCTGCACAGTTCCAGGGAGCCCCCTGAGCTTTTTCTGGAAGGAGCTTCCGTCACCAGGGCTGTGCTCTTGAAGCTGGGTGAACACCTGCCGGTCATGGCCCTGGGCAGTTCCTGCCCAGGTGGGCAGCTGGGCTGGGAGCGCCAGAGGCACCTTCTGGGTCCTGGAGTCCAAAGAGCCACAGCAGCCCCGGAGAGGGTGGGACCGCAGCTGCCGCGAGCAGAGCCGGGAGTGTGTTGTGTGCGCATCAGGCAGCTGGGCCACCACTGAAATAAGCAATAAGTAGACTCCTGGGATCGGTCAGTCCCCTGCAGGTGGGCCTTGAAGCGACCTTCCCTTCCAGAGGGGAGTGACCCTGTCCCTAAAGCTGTGTGGTGTCCGTGGACCCGTGGAGCACATCCTGAGAGCCCTCCTGTCCCTTCCTGCCCCTGCTGGCGGCCCCTGGCTTGCTAGGGTGGGACTGCCCGAGGGAGGGACGCATCTCAAATGGAGCCACGACTGCACCTGGGCACAGCTGGTGGCCGTAGAGCCAGCGGCTGGGGCCTCAGGTGGCCGTTTGGCCGCAGCTCAGGGTGACGCCCAGCTCTGCCACTAGCAGGGCGACACGGGGCCAGCCCCTCCCTCTGGAGCCTCAGCTCTGAGCCCCTCGTTGGGCTGGGGTGCTGAGACCCCCACCGTGAAGGCAGCCACTGGCCCAGCCCCGCACGGGGGCCTGCCACCCTGAAGTCCGAATCTGCTGAGCAGCTTTTAGGCGGGCGCGTTTCTACCCCCGAGTTATGCTACACACCAGTGTTAAGAGAGAAAAAAGTGACCTTTCATTTTTTTTTCTTGAGACTTGAGAGTGAGCAAACTGCATACTACTGATTTTTTGAAGAGCAGACGGCACGGCTGCGGAGCGGCACAGGTGTCTGTTCGCGCCGTGCGGGCGCAGCGCTGGCTTGAGGCGGTGCCCGCGGTGAGACCCGTAGCCGCTCGCTTGCAGCCAGAGCCGCGGGTGCCTGGCCCGTTTCTACCTTCTGTTGAACCACTTTGATTTGGGGAGAGAAAATAGAGCTTTTTGATAGTGCGGTAAACACGATGATTTTAACTATTTTAGTAAAAGGAGTAACAGATCAGGTTGTGATGGTGTATACTTTGAGCTAGAGAAATAAAGGCCTCTGCGAGCCTCCTGGCTGGGTGCGCTGCTGTTTCTGTCGCAGGGGGTGGGGCCGCTGGACAGCAGGGAGGGGCCCTCAGGGTGGGCGTCAGAGGCCGCTGTGGCCACTCCACACCAAGCAGGAACCAAAAGACGGTCACGGCCAAGCCCTGGCCCAACGCCTCCAGGCACATCGGCATGGGACCGCACGGCCCAGGTCTTCCACTCCTACCTCTTGGCCTTCGTCACGTGGGCTGGGGCTGCTAAGGCCAGGAGCTCCACCTTCCACCCCGAACACACAAAGCAGTAGTTTCAGAACTGATTTTATTTGGATAACTGAGTGAAGGAGTCTTATTTGTAACCAAGATGGAATTCACAGTATGTTAATGTTCACACTTAAAAAAAAATCAATGTGTACGGGAATCTGCAAGTAGATGTAAACACACATTACTTCCCAGGTATGTTTCTCTCCTACTCCTTGGAGGAAAAAGAAAAAGGCCACCCAGAAGGTAAACCCTTCAGTGTGACCTGAAAGTCAGAGTGTCCTCTCAGGTGTCAGGGAGTCACGGAAGGAGCACGGTGACAGCTTGGACTTCAGATGGAACTGGACTGAGAACGGAGCTTCCAGGAAAAACAGGCACTGATTTCTAGGACATTCACTGCACAGCGAAGCTATTCATGGAGCCAATATGGCTGCTGAGCGTTCTCTAGGCAGCAGCCCGGTGAGGCAGGACGCAGGACGCCCGCTGGGACCCCTGCAGTCGGGCTGGCGCAGGCACTGCTCAGGCCACACTGAAGCCGCTGTCCCCATCGCATGCGTGGGCCACCCCGATTTCATGGTGGGGGGTGTGTCTGTCCTCTGGACTGCAACTGTCTAACATTACACAAGGTACCCTGCCGCTCACCCACTTAAACTAATCTTCAGGTTGGCTAGAAAAACTGGTGAAAAACACAAGAAGGCGGCGTCACGTTATCTCAACCAGGCCGCTCGCCCTAGCCCCCCGACAGGCGGCATGCCGGGCGGAGGGATGGGTGGGGGCACAGGCGGCTGCCCTCCAGGGGGGACAGCGGGAGGTGGGTAGCTAGCTGGTGGCAGGCCCAAGCCTGGAGGAGGGTGAGGGGGCACTGCGTGAGTGGGGGGCAGGCGTGGGGGTGGGGGTGGGAAGTTGGGGTTGTATGTGGGTGGAGGTGGGGGGTAACCAGGAGTTGGGGGAGGAATGGCGGGCGGGGGGAAGGAGGCTGGGGGAGGGGGTACAGGCGGTGGGGGGTGGGTTCGGGGGGTAGACATGAGGGTGGTAGGGCAGGTGAGCTGGTGGGCCATAGGCAGGCGGCAGGGCGCCGTAGGAGGGGCCCTCGGTCTTCATCATGGACTGCAGGCTCTGGTAGCCCTCTCCAGACATGTAGGAGCTGGTGGTGGACATCCCCGTCATGTAGCTGGAGGGAGGCGGGGGTGGGGGACGGTGTGGCAGTGGTGGTGGCTGGTGCACAGGGGCCGGGTGGGCCGGTGGAGGAATCTGGACTTTGGGGAGGTCACTGGCATCCACAGGGCCTGATGGTTCAGCCTCGCCTAAGGCAGTGCCAAGAGGTGGCTTCCGGTCTGTGGAAGAGAGACAGGTCAGGGCCCAGCCAGTGTTCTAGAGCACGCCAGTGCAGGGCTGTATACCCTGGCTGCCTTGGGGGAGTCCTGAGCCAGGAGCTCCTCAGATCTCAAGGCTACCCGTGGCATCCAGGCCCCGTCATGAGCAGCGGCAGGCTGCTCCCCCACGGGCCAACGTATGGACCTGTGTCCCAGTGGGCTGCTGTCCCCACCTGTCACACAAGCCCTCCGTTCCATCTCCAGTAACCCTAGGTCTCCCTCCTTCAATCTTCCCAAGCCAGCCAAGGCAGTCTCCCCAGCACACGGTGCCCCACCGTGCCCCAGCCCAGCCCTCCTAGCATAGCATGGACCCAGGTGGGGCTCCGAGACAGCCAGGGCCCCAGTCCCGCAGGAAGGGCTGGCATTTAGCAGCTTGGGAGTTGGCCCAATGAATGAGGTGGAATTTAAAGAAAACACAAGTCTCTGACATTCCCAATGTACCCATCAAAGTAACAGTTCTGGTTCTGTTTTACCAAAAGAAGCAAGACTAAACCAATGCCCTGCAGCGTCTTCAAAGGTTAAGTGGTGTGTATGTGTGTGTGTGTACATGGGAAATGCAGTGTCTCTATGTGTGTACATGTAGGAAGTGCAGTGTGTGTGTGTGTATACATACATGGGAGGTGCAGTGTGTGTGTGTGTCCGTGTGTGAGTGCAGTGTGTGTCTGCATGTGTGTCCATGTACCTGTGGGAAGTGCAGTTATGTGTGTGTACGTACATGGGAGGTGCAGTGTGTGTGTGTGTGTCCATGTATGAGTGCAGTATGTGTGTACGTCCATGGGAGGTGCAGTAGGGCTGCAGAACCTGGTGTCAGGCGTCTCTGAGACACGGCTGTGGCCCCTCCCAGGCGGCTGCCCCTCTGCAGTGGTCCTGGCCCATGGGCCGGGCCCTCACTCCGTTCTTGCAGTCTCACCTCACAGACTCTGGCCTGTGATCCCCCAGGCACCAACAAACCCCTGGAAAATGGCATCAGAGAAGCCCACTCGTCTGCCCTTTCTCAAGGCAAGTGAAAGGGAAGACGTGACACGGGGTGACGTTTCTGGTTAGAGGAACACTGAGGCGGTGGTTCGACGGCTGTGAGGGCTTCCGGTGACCAGCCTGACCCCGAGCTCTCCTGGGCCAGACACGGACACCGGGTGCACGGATGGGACCTGTTCAGGATCACTCTGGAGCACGGCCACAGCCCCTGCTTCTCTGTTGTGGAGCTGTGCTGTTGGCCATTCCCTTGCTGTTCTCGACAAAGCTGGGGAGACAGACCTTCAGGTCACCCGCCTGTGCGGACCAGCACCCAACTCTCAAGGCAGACTGGATGCACCGTGCAGAATCTGTGTGGGCTCCAATCCAGCCCAGGGCCAGTGCCCTGTGGCTACAGAAACTCACAAAAGATACAGGGGCAGCACAATGCCCATGCCCTTGTCCCTCACAGGGGCATTTGGTGGCACCTGGGTGTGAAATACATTTCCCCACCTTCAGTGAGTCCACTGCAATGCTCCACTCTGACCTCTTCAGTCCCCAGTGCACCCACCGTGCCCTCTGTGACTGAGCTGGAGCAGCAGCCAACCTGGCACCAAACTGCCCCAACCCTCACTGCTGGGCCCCACAGGTGCCCGCCTTCCTTCAGTCCCCACCACCGTTTCCTGCTCCTCCTCTGATCCTTACGCATCAGAAACCTGGCTTCCTCGTCTGAGCAAATCCCACATCTGCGGCCACCTATACCTTCAGGGACCCCCGCTCCTGCGGCCACGCCCTCCGCGCCCTGCAGGCTCCAGTCCCCAGGGCTGCTGTCTCTGTGGCTACCTGCACCTTCAGGGACCCCCACTCCTATGGCCACACCCTCTGTGCCCCTCAGGCTCCCGTCCCCTCCAAGGTGCCCTCCACAGGGCTGCTGTCTCTGCGGCCACCTGCACCTTCAGGGACCCTGCTCCTGTGGCCACGCCCTCCGCGCCCCTCAGGCTCCAGTCCCCCTGAGGTGCCCTCCACAGGGCTGTCCCTGCCGGCCGTGAGCTGCCCTTGCCGAGCAGGGGCTCTGTGGACGCTCACTGAGCCTCTACAGGCACCTTGTAAAGCAGAGGCCGAGCTGGGCTGGGAACTGTTGGGATCTGGCTCTCCTGACCACTGGGAGGAAACCCCATGGGGCACACCTGTACAGGTGCACCTCTTTAGGAGCCGTGGTGGCAGTCACATGCACTGCCCATCAGTCAGGGCAGCAGCCTGCGGGCGCACCGCAGTCTCCCGTGGGAGCACCCGCTCCGCCCTCTCGAGCCCAGCCCTTCATCCCAGAGACGGCACCATGGCAGAGCCCAGCCCTTCATCCCAGAGACGGCACCAAGTCAGAGCTCTGTGGCAGCTGGCTCCTGCTGTCAGCAATGTCAGAGGGCCCCCGGCCAGACTTTGTAACTGACTCTCCCTGTATGTGAACAACGGCTTCTGCAAGATGCCCCAAGAAGATCGTGACGATAGGAGCCTGGTGACAGACATGAGTGCCACCCATGGCGCTCCTGCTGGACTTCGAGAACACACATTGGCTGGCAGGGGCTACTTTTCTAAAACTGGTTCTAAATTCATTTATCCTGTGTGAGGTCAGAGAATCTCAGATGCACTCAGAGTTTACAACATCCTCAAACTATCTGGCTTATCAGAGTGAAATAATTTCTAGAAGCTCCTTGCTTGTGGCTTTCAAAATTCCAGCCCACACTGGGCCTCCCACTAGCTTTCCTCCCTCAGGCAACAAAGCACCCTGCAGGGCTGCTGCAAGAACACGTACCTGGAGGTGGGTGAGCCGGTGGCAACGGCGGGTGAGCAGGCTCGATTTTGGGAATTTTAGGTGGCGGTGGTTCTAAAAAAAAAAGAAAAGAAAAAGAAAAAGTGAATTGAAAAGACCACTCCTACTTCTTCATGTGGACATATCTGTCATAGAGAAAACTGTGCTGTCAGAGATTTCTCTGGGAGAAAAAGAGGCGACCATGGCTCTGAGGGGGCCCGAGGAGGCCTCAGCTACACCACCACGCGGAAGCAGCAGACACGGCCTGGCAGCTTCCCGCAGGCATGCCCCGGCATCCTCCTGACCGCTCAGGACAGTCCTTGCCGTGTCGTGGGCGTGGCAGTGGCACCAGTCACCTGGCCCCTCTCTCTCTGGCCCTCACCGGCACAGACAACACAGGAAAGGCCCTGAGCAATAAGGCCACGCCCCCGAGCCCCGTGAGTGCTCCGCCTCTTCATTCTTAGCTGTGTTTGAAGGTGGCTTCCTCTCTTACACACAGCGACCTCCGGCGGGCGGCACGGCAGCAGCTGCCCCTTAGCTGAGGTCTGGAGGCAGAGGAGCCAGGCACAAGGCACAGCGGCTGCGGCCACTGGGGTGGCAGTCAGTCACCAGCAGCCACGAGGACGATGCTAGGTCACCCAGGCAGGCTGCAAGAGGCTCCACCTGTCAGTTTCCCAAGATGGAGGCGTGGACATACATGGGGAAACCTGCCTCCTGTGCCGTGCTGCGCTGCGGCTCCTTCCTGGAACCCACTGGTTCCGGCCTGTGTGGCGCTCTGCCTGAGCCCCCTCTGGCACTGTGCCACCCTCTCGGTGTCCTTGTCTCGAAGACAAGCTGCATCAGGGTCCAGGCATGGCCCCGCTCTACCCTCTTCCTCAGAGATAAATCCCTTCTGAGGACACGTCCGTTTCTGGTGTCTGCCTTGCTTCCAACACCAGGGCCCTGACTGCCAAGCTCCCCCTACGCCGTTCTTCCTGTCTCCTTCCTGCGGCCCCTGCTTCCTCCCTCTCTCACCACAGCCATTCAAGCTGAAGTCACTGACACGAACATGCATGGGCAGCAACACACATGTAGAGCTGTGGCATGAGAAAGCACACAGCTGAAACGAATTTTAACAGCGTATTGTTTAACTTGATACACCAAAAACTGTCAATGTGTAATCGATGCAAAATTTTATCAAGGAGATGTTTTACATTCTCTTCTTAGAAACTCTTGGAAACCTTGGAGGACCTGTGCTCACGGTACAAGCGGAGCCTGCATCCAGAGTGCTCAGGGCCCTCCATGACAGTGGCACTCAGCAGCAGGATCCCCTGGCTCTCCTTCTCTGGCTCTGGGGCCACAATTCTGCCTCCTCCCCAAGCCCCACTTATGTGCTTGCAAGCCCGTTCCATCCCCAGCTGTATGGCTGGGACAAGGTCTGGTGTGCTCCTGCTGGTGTGGCTTGGGTGTGGAACATTAATCCCCAGGGTGAGGTACTCAGAGTGGAAACTGACCTGTTGAGAGTCTGGGTCTCTGGGAGGTGAGTAGGATTAGCATCGGCAAGGGCATCAGCGTGGAGCCCCCAGCACTGAACACAGAGGCACACTAGGGAGTGTGTCTCTTGCCAAGTGACACCACTCTGTCTTGGGACTCTGCATGCAAGAAGCCATCACCAGGTGGAAGACCTCCAGAACTGCGCGCTACATGAAGCTCTTTTCTTTATCCAGTTTCCAGCCTCAGGTGTTACAGTAACAAGGGAAAAGAAGGCCAGAGAGATGCACCAGCCATTGGTCCTATCTCTGCTGCCAGGGAACTCAGTCTCCAGTGAACTCTGAATGTGCCCTTCAAATGTGCTTCAAATCCTGAGAGCTCCCACTGCCCACATAAAACCCCACACTCCTCTGGGTGGCTCCACGCCCCAGTGTGGGACTGAAGACCCACGATCTCAACCCCATCTAAAGCTGCCCCCTTCCAGCTCTCCACACGCCAGCTCCCTGCACTGCCCACGCCCCATTCTCAGTTCCTGTGCTTGCTTTGACCTCCTAGGTCACGCTGCTCAACACCAGGTCTCATCCAAGGTCACCACAGGGCCTGTCTCCTGCTTGTCTCATAGCCTGGTGTGTTGGCTCATCTGCACAGTCCACTCTCGTCTCACACTTCATGTCTGTCATTGGAGCTGAAGCAACTTCACCGGCACTGACGTCATCACTCCCCCAGATGCTGTGAAAAATACAGCTTCATCCTAACTTGAAATTTTCACAACAGCTTAATGAATAATTCACCGGGACCAAGAACGAAGCAACCAAGAAACAGAAACGAGCAAACGCTACGCCTTCAGAGTCCATGGGACAGGGCGACGGACACAGAGACAGAGCATTTCTAATTTCTGTCCTGCAATCGCTGAGATTCTGCTCTCTCTTCCTGTTTGTTTCCAATAAAGGAACAGATTAACCACCTTTGGGTACTCTAAATGTTAAAAACAAACTGTTTGAGACAGGTCAGACACAGGGCCGGATGGACATGCGGCGCTCTGCCCCCACCCCCCGGCCCCTCCTTTCTGCCTGCCCACCGTGCTGCTGCCGTGCTCAGCACAGGCACTCCTGTGGCCACTGCTCCTGTCCACTGTGAGAGCTTAACGCATCCCTAAAGTGCACACGCGGTCCTCCTGGGCCGTAATCGCACTTCCGCGGCAACAGTTCTCCTCTGTCCGTAATCACACTTTCATGTGTTACCAGTGATGTTTTTATTGCTAGTGATGGTTTCCGTATTAGCACCTTTATCAGAGCAGCCTGGAAAAACATCGTCAGGTGACAGACAAGATGACGCACTCTCCCCGGCAGAAAGGGAAAAAGGCTTTTGATGGGCACTAGGGTTAAATCTGAAGGCTAATCTACAACTGAAGGGAAAACAATGTTAACCAAGAATTAAACATTTTGTGTAGGGACACAGAAAACAAAAAACCAAATTAGAAGAGGTAATTACCTGCGGCTTTGTTCTCTTCTTTGGGAGAAACCACCTGTTACAGAAGAGACAGCTGTTAATGGAGATGCTGGGCGCCATAAAGGAGGAAGATTCCCAGACAAGCACAGGACCGGACAGAAAAGGCCTCGGAATAAAACAGCTGCTGGTCTGGCACCCAAGATCCTCTTTCTGCTTCCTTCCTCTTTGCCTTGTTCAAACTACACAGCGTTTCTCGTTTCTCTGTGGTGCAGTGCCAGGATCCCATATGGGAGCTGGTTCGAGTCCTGGCTGCTCCACTTCTGATCCAGCTTCCTGCTAATGCCCTGGGAAAGCAGCAGCAGATGGCCCAAGTCTTTGGGCTCCTGCACCCATGTCGGACACCCAGAAGAGGCTCCTGGCTCCGGATCAGCTCAACTCTGGCCATTGTGGCCATTTGGGGAGTGAACCAGTGGGTCAAAGACTTTTCTCTCTCTGTCTCTACCTCTCTCTGTAACTTTTTCAAATAAATAAAATCTAAATAAATAGTGACTTCTGAGCCCATGGCATTTAGGCCTACTGTTGCAATCTGCTACACATGGCCCTAGGTGCTGGTGAAGTGCATTTTCCTCATATGGCTAACTCTGAGGGCTGTGGAAAATGAAACTACTGGCTGGCTGCTCTGTGGGGGTAGGCGTGTGCTCCTACTAGAAACTTCCACAAGTGCCCCGTGCCACTGGACACTAGAGAGTGGCACTGAAGACAGCAGTCACGACCACTCGGGGTCAGGCAGGCGAATGAGCATCCACAGTGACCCTGCTGGGAAGAGGAGTGTCCCCCCGACAGGTCTCCAAGCCCTGTGAGGGTGATACAGGCAGCCGAGGCGGAGGACAAGGCCCCTGGGCACCCAGTTCATCCCCAGAGGCCGCCTATCCTGCGAGCACTTCAGTTCTCAGCTCCCTGCTGTTACGCCATCAGACTGCTTCTAGTGGTCAGCAGAACAGTGCTCCGGCGTGATACGAAATGAGGGTTTGGACTTAATGGCCGTGAAGCCTGAGTCCCACTCACCACGGCTCGTTTAACCTGCCGGGGGGGACTGGGCTGTGGAGACGGCTTCTTGGGCTGCTGCGCCTGCTGCTGCGCCTGTGCCTGCTGCTGCTGCGCCTGCTGCTGCGGCGGCGGCGGTGGCGGCGCTGACTGCGGGGCGTCCTTCTGCTGGGGCTGCGACGGCTCAGAGCCCTGAGACGGTTGCGACTGTTGTACTTGCGGCACTTGCGGTGTGGGCTGCAGAGACGGGGGCTGCTGCAGCTGATGGGGGGTGTGATGAGGCATCTGTTGTTTTCCTTGGGAGTAAAGGTCCAAGATCTGGTGGCAGATGTCTAAGAGAGACAACACTGACATGTACCACACAACTCATATCAGAGGCTACATTCTACCTAGAGAAGAAAAATCAGCTATCATTCTCTCACAAGGACCAGTCAATAAGCAGGATTCACGCTGGGCAAGTAAACTCATCTTCGCTGTGTACAACACTGTGTATATTTTTATTTTACCAAATTATATGCTCGGAAAAGTGAAAATTACATTAGAAAGTTTAGTTTAAAAACCTGCTTGGGGCCGGTGCCACGGCTCACTAGGCTAATCCTCCACCTTGCGGCGCCGGCACACCGGGTTCTAGTCCTGGTCAGGGCGCCGGATTCTGTCCCGGTTGCCCCTCTTCCAGGCCAGCTCTCTGCTGTGGCCAGGGAGTGCAGTGGAGGATGGCCCAAGTGCATGGGCCCTGCACCCCATGGGAGACCAGGAGAAGCACCTGGCTCCTGCCTTCGGATCAGCAAGGTGCACTGGCTGCAGCGCGCCGGCTGCGGCAGCCATTGGAGGGTGAACCAATGGCAAAGGAAGACCTTTCTCTCTCTCTCACTGTCCACTCTGTCAAAAAAAAAAAAAACAAAAAAAAAACAAAAAAAAACAAAAAAAACAAAAAAAAAACAAACCAAAAACCTGCTTGCTTGGGGCTGGTGTTGTGGCATGGCAGGTTAAGCTGCCGCCTGTGATGCCAGCATCCCATATGGGTGCTGGTTCAAGTCCTGTTACTCCACTTCTCAATCAGCTCCCTGGAAAGCAGTGGAGGGTGGCCCAAGTGCTTAGGCCCCTGCACCCACACGGAGACCCCAAAGAAGCTCCTGACTCCTGGCTTTTGGTGTAGCCCAGCACTGGTCGTTGCGGACATTTGGGGAATGAACCAGTGGATGTAAGATCTCTCTCTGGCTCTCCTTCTCTCTCTCTGTAACTCTGCTTTTAAATACATTTTTAAGAAACAAACAAGACAAAAACTTCCCCTTCCACTTCCACACGTTTAAAGGAAAACCCAGTCTTGGGAGCCGCGGTACACAGGAAGAATCCTCTAAGCATGAAGCACCCTGGAAAGAAAGCTGAAGCAGCTCAGTACCTTCCAGCACGTCCACGGGGACATCCTGAACAAACTGCTCCCACCATCTCCTATACATGGGCTTGGAAGTCCACTCCTGAATCTCAAACTTGCACAAGCGCCCTGCGAGATACATCACCGCGACCGCTATGATCTCCGGCTCCCACTGCAGCGACAAGGTGGTGCAGAGGCTGCGTGAACACAAGGACAAGTCTCTCAGATTCCACGAACCAACATTATGACGCAAATCCTGCGACGCAATGTCCTATACCTGCTGATTTGCTTATTCTTTCCACAGATGACTGAAGTATTATAAATTAAAGCAAGTCTTCAGCCTTCTAAAGGTACCAAAATAAGTTAAACAGTTATTAGTTTATTAATACACAGTAATTCTTGCACATTCAAAAATTATGACATCACATAATACAAATGACAATGCTTTATGTTCTTTAGATTGTTGAAATCCTTGGCACTGAACCGTTTCTTCAAATTAATGCCTAGGGCAAGGTCAAACACATGTACAAAAAATACAAAAGCAGCTTTTCGGCCTAAGGGGCAGGGCCACCGCAACACTAAGACTGGAGGGCATTCTGACCCTCCGGCCCCCCACTTGGAAATGAGGGCCCTAGGAAGAACTCGGAGACTCCCGAACTATTACAAATAACAGTGTTTGCAGAACCGACTGGCCTATAAGTATGCAGTGCTCAGAATTCTCCAGTGTCTTGTATTGGACTTGGTTTCAAACTGGTGATGAGATTTCAGCATCTCACCACCGTGATGCTGGAGGCCACCTGCCTGGAAGCGATGGCCGCAACTTGAAGCCCAGCCTGGCCACTGGCCAGCTCTTCCAGCTGGGGCAAGGCAGGTTCCTCAATACAAAGCGAGGGGTTTAGATTTAATGACCCAAAACTCTCTGCTTATTTTGAAACACTGTAATTGAAACAATATTTGAATATGAGTACCTGTCATTTACAAATGTCCACGCCATTTGAACCAACTTCTGAATTTTGTTCTTATCACCTACAAATGGGGAAAAAAGGTAAGTTAAGGGTAATATGGGGAAGGGGATAAGGCTTCACTAGAATCAATAAACATTGATTTAAAAACCTATGGTGTGGGGCCAGCCTGATGGCAGACGGCTTACAATGCCACATGTGATGTTGGCATCCTATATTGGAATGCCATTTCGAGTGACAGCTACTTTTTTTTTTTTTTTTTTTTTTTGACAGGCAGAGTGGACAGTGAGAGAGAGAGACAGAGAGAAAGGTCTTCCTTTTTGCCGTTGGTTCAACCTTCAATGGCTGCCGCGGCCGGCACGCTGCGGCCGCCGCGCTGATCTGAAGACAGGAGCCAGGTGCTTCTCCTGGTCTCCCATGGGGTGCAGGGCCCAAGCACTTGGGCCATCCTCCACTGCACTCCCGGGCCATAGCAGAGAGCTGGCCTAGAAGGCGGGCAACTGGGACAGAATCCAGCGCCCCGACCGGGACTAGAACCCGGTGTGCCGGCGCCGCTAGGTGGAGGGTTAGCCTATTGAGCCACGGCGCCGGTTGCTACTCTACTTCTGATCTGGTTTCCTGCTAATGAACTTGGGATGGCAGAAGACAGCCTAAATACTTGGGCCCCTGGCACTCATGTGGAAAACCAGGATACAGTTCCTGGCTCCGGGCTTTAGCCTGCCTACACTTGGCTGTTGGGGCCATTTGGGGGAGTGAATCAGCAGATGTCTTTCTCTCTGTTGCTCTGCCTTTCAACTTAAAAAAAAAAAAAAAAAAAAAAAAACACCACAAAAGTGACCAATGCAGAATCACTGTTTATGGGGAACTGGGCTCCAAGGCTAATTTTATTAGTCTATTTAAAAAATTCTGACTCATTTTCCTGCCTCATGTCACTTGGCAACTGGATGACAGAACCTGTTTATGCATAAAAGGGGACAGAATTACCAGCTATCATACTGAATAGTTTGAGCAAGCTATATTCTGGGTACTTTATACACTGAACCCTCTGTTTGCCTTTTGAGAAGCATAATCTGTGTCTGAACAAATTCTAAAGAGTTGATTTCAGAATGAAAAATTCTTTTTTAAAAAACTTTTCTCCCTTACCTTTGAGCTGCTTTGCATATTTGAGTAGGAACTGGTATGGATGTTCTACCTGTAAGTCGAACTTTATGGTCTGCAGTAAGATTCTCTCCAGGACCATTACTTCTTCCTAAAAATAAGTAGCCAGGGTTGGGGTAACAGTTACAGTCACGGGTCACAAGCAACACTAAAAACATGAGCTCTTCTATTTATTCTCTCGTCCACTTATATTTTAGCAACTGTTTTCTGTTCCTTTTCTCCTCTCTCCCACTCAGGTTTTTAATTGCAGAGAGAAAATGATAAATTCTGAAAAGAACTCAAAATAGGAATCTGAAATAATCAGAGGTTTAATTCTAAAAAACAAAGCTTCTTAGAAATGTGATTACTTTCATTACATATGTGTCTTTCTTCACAAAACACTTTCACTTTTCGATATTCTAACTGAATTGCAGATTCTTTCAAGATTCCGATAAAAAATTCACTCCCTCAGGAATTTTCGCTGCAAACTTTCAACAAGGAAGAGATGATGATAGCCAACTGCAACGACGCAGCAGGTGTGTGTGTGAATGAGGCGCATGATTTCCGTGTCTAAATTCTTCATTTACCTGAAATAAGCTGTCCCAACATCATTTGCTGAATAAGTTATCATCCCCTTCTATTTGAAAGTCAACCTAAATCACACTCTAAACCATGCATGTATGCACACACACACACACACACACACACACACAGAACCTCAGCTGTGTGCTGACCTGTCTGCTTGGAAGGGATTGTTCCGTCACCTCCCCTCTTTTCAGAAAATTTATTTGCTTTTGTATGATCCCCATCCCACTACCTGAACTTTGGTATCATTTTACTAAATATTATCCTAAAGAAATAACTATTGACATTCCGATTAAGAACTTGCTGAATTCACAGAACAATCAGGAAAACAGAGACCTTAACTACATTTCATCTTCTTATCAAAAATTTATTAACACCTTTTCCGTCCTTTAGGATAAGTCTTAAAGCCCCCTGCCAATTTTCCCAGGGATTATCTTCAGATATTTTACCGTTGCTTTTATAAATGGAATCTCCTCTCGGGTCACACTCTAACCAGTTAATGTTTCTTAACGGGTGCTTCTTGCCTTCCACTGTGTATTGTCTGCACCTAGCACTTAAAGACAATGCACAACACAATCGAGACACTCACTGGGAGCACAAGCAGCAGTGCCTGCTTGCCATCAGAGAAGAAAGGGCTCTGCAGAGCACCCACAGTCTCTTCACTAACAGCTGCACAAACCCAGCAACCCAGGAGGCGACATCCAGGCGGCAGGCCTGTCGTTTTGAAGTACGGCACAGAACAGAGCTGATTCTCTAACAGTGTGCTAGTCATAGCGGAAAGGCAGGTGTAAGGTTTCCTAACCTAGTTCCCCTAGTGTTCTCATGAAAGCTTCAAGAAATCTCGGAAACTTTTACAAGGTATAAAATATTCTCCTGTTTTTTTTTGGCCATTATTGTCAGCATCTGTTTCCCAGAAGTATTAACATTTCCTCTAAATTTAGAGATGATCTCCTACCAAGTGCACCAACCAGTTTCCAGGCTGTAGTCCTTGCGGTGTTACACAACAGTCTGAGGCCTACGATTCTCCTGGTCTCAAACTAAATGAATGGGGTAACTGCAGATCTCCTGCAAACATCACGCCTCAGGGAAGCTTCCCTGTGGACGCTGTCACAGCTGGGTGGGATAACCTCGCAGAGCACTTGTCGTGGCTCATCCTCAGGTATGCATGCCTATTGGATAATTAGAGTAAAACCTGTCCTGCACGCTCAGCCGTCACCTCCACCAGAGCAAAGGCCCTGGCTGTCCTGCAAGGCACTTTATGTCTAGAGCCGAGAGTGGCAGCTGGAACAATTATTTGTTGAATATTACATTTCTGTATTACATTACAGAAAGCTCATGGAAAATGTACAAATCTTTAAATTTCATTTTTGTGGGACATTTTAAAGTAACTGCATACATGAAAAATTTAGCTAATCAACACAAAAAAGTTACACACCACTCATGATGCTATTTTTTGTAACTACTTTAAGTGGCTCCTGGAAGTGACTGGTGAGGAAAATCACAGCTGCTTCACCCCCAGGTCCAGGGCGCTGTCCTTTAGCTCCTACTCCTCATGGTCACGTCCGCGGAGACTGCCCAGCGGACAGGGCGCTGTCCTTTAGCTCCTGTTCCTCATGGTCACGTCCGCGGAGACTGCCCAGTGGACAGGACGGGCCGGAGGCCCTGGCTCACTCAGGGCAACGACTATGCCTGTACTTTGCTTTTCTGAGCATCCTAGCTGTAGAACTTCCCTGTCACTGTGCCCATCCCATGTGCGAGTTTCCTGATTCAACCAAACCACGGGTAAAGGCTGGAAGGAAAGGGGGACTGGGACAGCAGGTCCTGCTGTCCCAGTGGCTGCCACATGCATCCTGGCCCTGCAGTGGTCCCAGTTCTGTGTGACTCCTCATCCTCATCACCACTCATCTGCTAGTGGTCCCAGTTCCGTGTGACTCCTCATTCTTATCACCGCTCATCCGCTAGTGGTCCCAGTTCTGTGTGACTCCTCATCCTCATCACCGCTCATCTGCTACAAGGCTCATCTGCCCCAGGATCAAGATGTGACTTAAGTGCATGTCCCCACAGCTGGACTGGTCACATCAGGGCACAGTGCCTCATTACTCGGTAACAGTTAAATCCCATGGGGTTAAAACACTGCAACACGGCTACATGATTTTTATAAAGTTGCATTTCTGATTATAATGTGAGTTCGTAATAGGTTCAAATTTTTATAAACAGGTTAATGGATTTATAATTAAATTCAAAGGACGGAGTTACACATTTTAATACAATGTTTCAGTATTAATCACAACCACAATATGTACAAAGTCTCCTGTGTCCCTGTTAACTCATCGAAGACATGAGAAAAAATCCAAATATTTGTAAACATGGGTATGTCAAAATTTCATGGGAAAATCAGGTTAAAAGGTGTTTATTTTGGTACAAAAACATGAAACCCAAGTACAGTTTATCATAATTTTTTGAAGATCCCTTGTATGTACAGATTTTGATTTTTTTTAACACCAAAATACTGATCTTGCATTTTACCTTCCACAAACTGCCTGCAGTGCCTAACACACAGAAACACTGCTCGATCAGAGAAGGGCAACTGCAGCGAGACAGCAGCAGGCTGGGAGATGTGAGACCACGATGGGGCTGACCTTCGACCCCGGCACCGCGAAATGTGTACTCTGTCCAGCACCGGATCGGCTTAGACAGAGTTCCTACTCTCACGGATCTGACAGCTGAGAAGGGGAAAGCACCATTCATGTGATTATTTGTTAAAACTTGAATGGAAACTGGAGAAGTCTTCAGAGAAAACCACCTAATCACGAGCTATTCATAGAGCTACGAAGGATAATTAATAGGTGCTACAAGGGTTCAAAATGGAGGGTTATGAGGAGAATAGGTGGGGAAAACTGCCCTTGGCCCCTCAACGTGGTACTTTTAGAATAAAAGCTCATTCGTGCACAATTATTTTGGCACCATTTGCTCACACTGGCAGGAGTTGGGGGGTGGGGAGACGGGGTGGCTGGTATGACCAGTAGCAATCCCTTGGTGTTAAAAATGCCACAGGTTGGAACCTGCTGACATTCTTGAGAAGTCACACTGGCACATGCATGTGTTCCATCAGTGTCTGTGGGACACAGAAGCCACCAGAGACGGGACCTGCCCTTGCTGTGGAAGCTAGGAAGTGCAGCACTGGTGGCAAGGACAGGGTGTGTGCTCAGTGCACCCACTGCGCCATCGGAACACGCTGGCACGCTGGGAGCAAGGTGCACAGGCTACGCCCTGCTACCTCATCTCACCAAGGCACGGAACTGCGCACAGCACTTCCACAACCAGACAAGAGCTGAAGGCAGAAATCACGGATCTTACCTTTGGGTCATCTCCAAATTGGCCAAACTGGACATCATTTAATAAACTGCGAGCTGTTTTGATGATATCTTTGCATTTTTTTGGCGTTTCTTCCACTTTTCCAGCCAGAAATAGACAACACGCTCCGGTCACCTCAAAAGGGAGATAAAAGCTCTTGATGTTTGCTATCAAAAATCACACAGAAACCGACACCAGCATTTTTGGGCTTCATGATAAATCAGTCCCTCTCATTCTCTTACCACCCTTTCTCATGCACAAATACGCTGAGACTCCGAAATGAAGATGGAAAGTCTACACATATACCCTCCCCCCCACAAAGTTTGGCTTCAGAAATTTAAAATTTAACTTCAGAAAATGCCAAAAAAAGAGAAGAGTCACAGAAATGAACTTTCCTCATATTCAATCTGAAAGATGGTAACTCCCGAGCAGTAAGCTTTGCCGTGGAAACGCACACCACGGAATCCATCTCTGCACCGCTGCCACACCTCTGCTCCTACGTGTGTCCCCACTCCCCCACCCCTCCCCGCTTATGCTGAAGCTGAACTCCTGGCACGACGGTGGCAAAGTCGGGCCCTCAGGAGGCGAGCCTCTCAATGGTGGGAGCATCGCCCAGAGAGGAGGCCCGAGAGCTCGTCCCGTGTACCCGTGAGGATGCAGCAGGGTGCCCCCGAGAAGCAGGCCCTCACCACACTGATCTACTGCCATCTGCAGCTGGGACTTGCTGGCTCCCAGAACTAGGGGATACGTGCCCACAGCACGCTGCTAGAGCAGCCTGAGTGAGCTGAGACATGGACCTCCAGCTGTCTCACCCAGTTCAGCCACTGAGCTCACAGCTGCTCCGTCCTCAGCTTGTCTGCCCACTCCACGCCATTCTCTTCACACTACCCTGATCTCATGCAATGCCACTCTGCCAGGGCGCCAAGACCTCCAAAGACCAGCGAGAAGACACACATGACATCTAAGTAGAATCTTAGCAAGAGACAAACACCCTACAAAGTGACCTTCCCGCTTAGCTTGTCATCTTCTTCGTGAAACCTTCTCATCACTTCACTGTTCACACGCTCAAGTCAGATGTCCCTTGTCTGGCCATGGAGACGCGCATGCTCTGACCCCGTCTGCCTTCCCCTCCTGGGTCCCATCGTGCCCTTCCCGATGAACGGAACTCCTGAAGGAGCCCACAGTGAGCTGCGTGCTCGGGCTAGCTTCTGTTGCACGACTGCCTGAGCCCAGCGCTGCACGATGTTCAAGGCTTAGCTCCCTCCAGGCACCTCCTCCCACCACCTTCCCTGATCCCTCCGCGATAAACGGGGTGAGTGCAGGTTCAAGGAGTTACTGGAGAGCGGTGACCCTGCATGGAGAATTTCTGTTCTACCTTCCTTTCTCTGCTGCGTCTCAATTATAAGCCAAAGTTTATCTTGGGAAAGGTAACAAAGAAGTAATTTTTTACACAAAATACAACATGATTGTGGTCTACATTAGCCTAAATAAAAAAATAATCTGAACATGATTAATTGGAAAAAGTAAGGTTCAAGCTTATTTTTGTTTATATATTTGTACAGGATGTACCATATAAAAATACTTCCTGGAAAATATAATACAAATGACACTACAATAAGTCCATCAAACTGTGTGGAAATAACATGTGGTAAAGAATTACAATAAAATTCAAAAACTTACATATCTTGGGAATTGCTTGAAGGAATGAAACATATAGAAACGATGAAAATAAATTATTCCAGTTGCCAGGGTGTCATAGTGTCTGTGGTTTTGGTTAAGGACTTTAGTCTGTAGCTTTCACAGGTTATATTCTTAAGTTAAATGCAGAAAACAATAAAGACAAGCAACAACAAAGTCAGTGGTGAAGTAAACACTACCAGTAGCAAAGCAGGAGATGGAGTCTCAGGGTGAAGGTCTATGCTTCTAACTAGTCTTTAGAAACACTCCAACTGTGTTTTTTTTTTTAATTTTATTTATTTGAAAGGTGGAGAGTTCCACAGAAAAAGTGAGAGAGAGACAGAGAGAGAGATTGATCAATCTTCCATATGCTGGTTCACTCCTCAAATGCCTGCATCAGCTGGGGCTGGACCAGGCCAAAGCCAGGAGCCAGGAGTTCCACCCAGGTCTCCCACAAGGGCGGCAGAAGTCCAAGCACTTGAGCCATCTTCCACTGCTTTCCCAGGCACATTAGCAGGGAGCTGGATCTGAGGTGGAACGGCTGGGAGATGGGAACTGAACTGGCTCTCACATGGGATGTTGGCCTAGCAGGCTGTGGCACAACATCAGCGCCCCCACTGTGATTCTTAAAAATTATTTATTTTTATTTATTTGAGAGGGAGAGGGAGAGGGAAAGAGAGAGGGACAGGGAGAAAGAGAGCGAGAGAGACAGAGACAGAGATAGAAGATATCTTACATTTGCTTGTTCCCCAAATGCCCGCAATAGCCAAGACTGGGCCAGGCTGAACTTGGGTGCCAAGAACTCAATCTGGGTCTCCCACAAGGGTGGCAGGGAACCAAGTACTTGAGCCACAACTTGCTGCCTCCGAGGGTATACATCAGCAGAAAGCTGGACCTCGGAACAGGGTGAGGACTTGGGCCCAGGTATGCTGATAGAGGATATGGGTATCCCAAGCCACCCCTTAACCTCCTCTTAAAGGCTGTGGACATGGGCCAGTGCTGTGGAATAGTGGGTTAAAGCCCTGGCCTGAAGCACCAGCATCCCATATGGGCGCCGGTTCTAGTCCCAGCTGCTCTACTTTCCATCCAGTTCTCTGCTATGGCCTGGGAAAGCACCAGAAGATGGCCCACGTCCTTGGGCCCTTGCACCCGTGTGGGTCGAGACCCGGAAGCGACTCCTGGCTCCTGGTTTTGGATTGGCGCAGTTCTGGCTGTTGCAGCCATGAGGTGTGAACCAGCGGATGGAAGACCTCTCTCTGTAACTCTGTCTTTCAAATAAATAAAATAAATCTTAAAAAAAAAAAAAAAAAAAAAAAGGCTGTGGACAACTGCCTGGCCCAGCTATGAGCCTAATGGACCTGTTTTCCTCCTGGATGGTTACTTGTTAACTCTATGCATGTAAAAGAGAAACTAATGATGACCCAGGGAAATAAGAAACAACATTTAAAACAACAAGGTGTCTAAGAACTGCCCTGCTAGGGAAACATGAGAGTATATTTTGTCCACAATATCTCCTCCCTTTCTCTGTGGTGGTGGTGGGAAGCCCATCTATAAGATTCCAAGCAGAAGCAGGATACAGCCCCAGACGCGTGCCTACATCAAAGATGAACCGCGCCCCTTCTCGGCGGTACCGGGCCTCAGTGGCTGGATCAAGTCCTTCGAGTTGCGAGGGTGTATGAGCCAAGTCTTTCTTATCCCAGTACCAACATGGTTTTGTGTGGTCCAGGTTTGCTGAAGTCACTGAGGGGCTTGAATTTTCTTTATTCTCCTTCATTTATTGAAGTATGCTTGTTCTTTCCAAAAGGTTTCTTTGAAATGTTAGACTCCTAAGAGAAAAAGAACCAAAAGTTAGAAAGGGATATTCACACTCTAAGCAGTCTATAATCTTGGAATATACCTGATTTTGGATCAAAATTTCCTATAGAAACAACAGCAATTGTTAGTATGCAGCTCAGGCTAACCCTCAAAGCTAACTTAACACATATCACGAGTGCTCTGAAAGTAAGTCCCTGTTCAATGGTAATTTAACAGGAGTGTTTCCAGCCCCACCCTTGTGTCTACGAAGGGGCCATGTAAGGCCCACAAAGTCATTTGGTCTGGCCCTGCCAAGGCAACCACAGACGGCACACAAAATTCAGTAATTTTACAGCAGGTGAGTTTTTAAGTTGATAATTTTGTATGGCCCACAATATCCAATGGTCTTTGGCAGAAAAAAAGGTTCCTCACCCTTGGCAGGGTTAAAATCAGCCAAATTTCGGAAGCATTAAGTGTGCCTCATTCCTTCTTATCTTCCTTCCCTGGACACTCTGTGCCCTGGCCCCAGTCTGGTTTCCACTCTCAGTGGAAGCTGGGCCTGGCTGAATCCCTTACAAAGACTTACGCTCCAAAATCATCCACCTCCTCCATCCAGCACCTGATCACACTTCCCTTCTTGGTCCAATAACTGAACTGAGTGACACAAATGAAGTATGGGTGTAATGACCAGGGGTGGTGAGAGGACGGAGGTGGGACACTTGGAAGGAGCTCTCTTAGACTGGTCTTGCTTTTTCAAACTCTTCCCTGTCTTTCATTCAGGGAAGAAGAAAACAAAGACGCCAGGGCCCCACCAGCTCCCCTGCAGGTCTAACCTCCTGTGGACACGCCTCATCCTGGTGAGAAAGGGGACAAGGCAGGGTCAGGTATTCTCCTTGCACCTGACTACTCTAAAGCAAATCTAATCTTTCCTCCAACAGGAAAAATTAAGAACCTGGAGAAGAACACTCTGCTTTAACTTGTAACTTATACACTTTTCGTGTGAATAAGTTAGGCAATATGGGGAGGGGCAGTTAACTAAAGTTTCAGAAGATATGAGTTCATGATCAGATATCATAGTGACACACCACTTCCCATCTATCCAAGCGGCAAAAATCCAAGCTTGACAATTCACTGTTGGCAAGGCCAGGAGAAGCAGGTGACTTCATATACTGTTGGTGGGAATACCGTCTCAGACAGGAAGTTGGCAGTGTCACACCCATTTGCTCTTCGACACAGTATCCCACTATGAGGAATCTACTCTGAAAACAGTCACAAACGTGCAACAGCAATGCAACAGCTTATGGATTGCAGTGTTTGTAATGGCAACTGTGAACAACCCACCCACAGGGAACTAGTTAGACAAAACATGATACAAGAACACAGCAACACACCATGCAGCTGTCCAGAACGAGGAAGATCTCTAAGGACTGGACGGAGACTGAGACTCAGTAGAGGTAGGATCGCATAGTTAGAACCTACGAAAGGAGCAAGGGGGGTGGAACAGGACAGAAAGGACAGGGATGGGAACATGACTCTCTTTTTTTTAAACAGCTTTGACTTGTTTAAAAAAAAAAACATTTACTTAAAAATAACTGCAGATTTACTACAGCCTTTATGCACATTTGAAGCTTTTCCAAAAATCCTTGGTTCCAGGATCCACCTAGCATTCTACAGTATATTTAGGTGTCCTGTCTCCTTAGTATCTTCTAACCTGTAAGTCTCTCAGTCTTTCCTCGTTTTTTTTTCATGATTATGTCAGTTTTGAAGACTACTAGGCAGGCCCTTAGTGATCTGTCTTGAATTGGGCTTGTCTGACGTTTCTCGTGAACAGCGTGGAGCTGTCAGGAAGAACGCCTCAGCGGGGAATGTGTCCCTCACACCGCGTTTCTGCTGATGTCACCCATGATCTTTTGGTTAAGAGGAGGCTTGCCAGGTTTCTCACTGCCAGTTCTATTTTTCTCTTTCCACTTTCTGTTCCTCAGGAGCAAGTCACGACGTCCAGCCCACACTCCTGGGGATGTGAGTTAGGCTGCACCTTCTGGGGGAGCGGTACCGACGGATTTGTCGACATATGTTAAAAGCACCAAAGCAACGTGTTAGTATTCTGGGGAAATCTTTGAAATACAAAGACCTGCTCTTCCTTAAAGTCTTGTCTGCCAATCTTAGTGATCATCTAAGCATCCTGTCAGCACCAACATTACCATGGTGTCTGACTACTTCCTTCACTCCCTCAACATTTACCACTTCAATCACTCATTTATATCAGTATAGACTTTAAAGTGTTTTTTTTTTTTAAAGATTTATTTATTTGAAAGGTAGAGTTACAGAGGGAGAGAGAGAGAGAGAAAGAGAGAGAGAGAGATCTTCCACCCACTGATTCACTACCCAAATAGCTGCAAAAGCCAGAACTGGGCTGATTTGAAGCCAGAAACCAGAAGCTTCTCCTTAGGTCTACCACACGCGTCAGAGCCCTAAGCACCTGGGCCATCTTCTGCTGCTTATCTGCATCACAGGAAGCAGCTAGCTTTACCTGCTACGTCACAATGCTGGGCCCACAAAAATTTATGTTATTTATTGGTTATAATCCAATCCTATGACTATTCTTACTGCTCAAATCATTCCCACGTGGCTGCTGGGAGCTCTTTCAGGTTGGCTCCTGGGTCCTTTGTAACTTTGACTTTTCAATCATTTGAATACTTAACATAATCATGAATTTAATTAAAAATAAAATCCTAAAACTCCAGACAAATCCATGTACACCAAATGGGCAACAAAACCACAAGGAAAATTATCTTGATAATCTGTGATTTTGTTACATCCTTAGTGATATATTCAAGGACAAAAAGAACTGTGGGGCTAGCACTGTGGTGTAGTGGATAAAGCTGCCGCCTGTGATGCTGGCATCCCATATGGGTGCTGGTTTGAGTCCACGGCTGCTCCACTTCCAATCCAGCTCCCTTCTAATGTGCCTGGGAAAGCAGCAGAAGATGACGTAAGTGCTTGGGCTCCTGCAGCCACGTGGGAGACCTGGAAGAAGCTCCTGGCTTCAGATCAGCTGAGCCATAAGAGAGTGAACCAGCAGGCAGAAGAGCTCTGTCTCTCTCTGCAACTCTGCCTTTCAAATAAACAAATTAATCTTTAAAAAAACTGCAAAGAAATCTTAGACTTTTTAAATGTACGATTAGTAATAGCATTCATTTTGTAATTTTAAAACCTTTTTGGTATAAGATAAAGCAAATATGTAGGTGTTAATATAAAGGAAGCAAATTTATATATGCACAAAAATCAAAGATCTGTGAAAAATATTGTAATTTAAACTTTAATTGCAAATCCTAAAATAAGTCACGGTTAGAAATATTATATTCTGGTATGGTTTTGAGTGTGGTTTGCCCCTTGACCTGTGACTTCCGTGCCTCTGTGGGGTGCTGAGGGCAGGACCACTGTGGGACTGGATTAGCCAGCACTGGGGCAAGGCCGACCCTGCTGTGCTGCTGCTGTGGCCCACGTGCCCTTTGGCTTTCGGCCCCCAGAAGAAGCCGATGCAGCCTTCACCAGACGCAGCTGCTTCACCGTGGACTCCCCAACCCCCAGAACCATGAGTCTAAACACACCTCTTTCCCGTGTAAGTTACTCTCAGGTATTCTGTTACAGCAACAAAAACTGGACTACAACACATATGTGGGCACTTCAGAAAGTCTGTGAACAAATGGAAGATACTTATTTTGATGTAACATGTTTTGACATCCATGCAGTTTTCTCAAAATTTTCCATAAACATTTTGAAGACCCATGCTCTGTCCACATCAAGTACCTAGGAGCAACGGCACTCCTCTGACAAAGGACATTATTTAATACCCAAATCTTACTGTTCTAACACCACTACCCTCTAAGAGGAAGCAGGCTTCTTTCCATCGGGAGAAGAGGACTTCCTGGCCTATACTCACACTTACCAAAAGATACGGGAGCCAGCATGCCGAGTGCCCACTGGATAGAGTCAAGGCAATTAGAGTATTAAAGAGAAAAATGATGTGGTTGATAATAAATAAAAAAGGAAAGTTCATAGAAATATTAACATATGAAGAGCAAATTCCCTTTCCTAGCACTGGTAAGGAAACTATTATTTTTAAAAAGTAGTTTTTAATAAGATGATCAAACGTACATCATAGCAGGGTGAAAACTTGCCATGTGTTCCTTCTGGTGTGCTGCAGCATGAAATATCATTGACCTTGAAGCATTCTTGCCCCCCAAAAGCTTACCCTAAATATAACCAAGCCTTCAGACCTCACTTCCAGTTTACATCAAAGACTGGAGGTGCAGAGCAAGTTAAATGATACAATAAGGAAATTATATGTCATATTCAGAAGATGGAAAACTCTAACAATCAACGCTCTCTCAAAAAAGAAAAAAAAAAAGGCAACATGCAAAAACATGAAAAAAAAAAAAAAAGAAAGAAAGAAAGCTAGGGGACTTGTTTGAGGCTTACCCAACACAACATGTGAAGTCTGACCAGATCCTGGTGTGTGTTTGTTTTTTTTTTTGGTTTTTTTTTTTTTTTTTTTTGCTATGAAAGAAAAATTTTGAACAGTCAGGGACATTTTAAATATGGACTGTATATTAGAGGGCATTAAGTCTATAACACTAATTTCTTAGGGGTATTAATGATCCTGTGATTACACAGGAGAGAATGACTTATTCTTAGCAGTGTAGGCTGAAGAACTCTGGGTGAAGTGTCACAACTCCTGCAATACTTTGAAATGGTTTAGCTAAAGCAAATGTGACAAAATATTAACGTGTCCAGTCCAGGCCATAGGTAAGTAAGTAGTCATTGCACTATTCTTTCACACAATAAAAAAATCAGATGGGACTGCTTGGGATACCAGGAGGTGCCCTTACATCTTTAACTTCTGCAGACCAGAATCTCTTGGTAACCAGGGAATATTTGCTTATGCATAGATAATGTTCCCATAAATTAAAGCTTTTAGTTTAAATTTTTGAATGTTTATATCCAGTTTCTTTTGCTCAACATTACATTTATGGTTTTCACCTCTGTTGTTGCATAAAGCCATCCTTGTTCACTTATTACTGTATAGCAGTGGTCTTCAACTGGGGCAATTTTGCTCCCCAGTGGACATTTGGCAGTGTCAGGAGACGTACTGGTTGTCATCATCAAGGAGCTGCTGCTGGCATCTGCTTGGTAGAGGCCTGGAATTTTCTGGACATTTGTACGACACACAGAACAATCCCCTACAATATCAAACTATCTGGTCTGACTTGTTAACAGCGCCAAAGTTGAGAGACTGCTGTGTAGTATTTTATTCTTCGAACATAACACAATTTATCTATCTATTCTGCTGTGGATGGATCTTTCAAAAATTCATTTTTAAAGATTTATACAATGGGGGCTGGTGCTGTGGTACAGTAGGCTAAGCTTCCACTGTGGCACTGGCATCCCATAAGGGTGCTAGTTCTAGTCCCAGTCGCTCCACTTCCGATTCAGCTCTGCTATGCTCTGAGAAAGCAGTGGAAGATGGTCCAAGTGCTTGGGCTCCTGCACCCACATAGGAGACCCAGAGGAAGCTCCTGGCTCCTGGCTTTGGATCAGCCCAGCTCTGGCTGTTGTGGCCATTTGGGGAGTGAACCAGAGGATGGAAGACCTTTCTCTCTGTCTCTTCCTCTCTCTGTAACTCTACCTCTCAAATAAATAAAATCTTAAAAAAAAAAAAAAGATTTTTACCATATATTTTGAAAGAGAGAGATATGGAGAGGGACAGAGGGTGAGACGGACACACAGAGAGAAAGAGATCGATTGATTTCTATCCACTGGTTACTCCCAAAATGGTTGCAATAGCTGGGGCTGCGCCAGGAACTCCATTTGCCTCTCCCACATGGGTGGTAGGAACTCAAGACTTAAGCCATCATCTGTTGCTTCCCAGGCACATCAGTCTGGAGCTGGATAGGAAGTGGAGTAGTGGGGACTTGAACCAGCATACCAATTTGGGATGCAGGCATCCCAAGTGGTAGCTTAACAGGCTGCACCACAATGCCTGCCCACTTCTGGTTTCTGACTATTAATAAGTGATAAACACTCAAGTGTATTCCTGTAGAACAGAAGATAACCCACCAGTTGGCTGAGAGAATCAAAATATCCTAGCACATATGTAAGGTATTCAAAATACATGAGCTGGGAATTGCTACTTTAAGATACATTAACAGTTCTCCATGCATTTATTCATTCAAATATTTGCTGAATATTTACTATGTAACAGTTCTTCATGCATTTATTCATGCAAATATTTGCTGAATATTTACTATGAGCAGGGCCTCAACAGCACAGCAAGAAACAAGACAGGACAGGCCCTTGCCCCACCAGAAAGGAGAGTCAGAGAAAAACAAATATAGTTGTATGTTGGTATCTGCAGGGGATTGCATTCAGCAGTGGCCAAAGAGGTAGTGAAATTAGCATCCTCATTAAGAAACAAGGGATGTCAACTTTAAACCACAGTAACAGCCAACTGCTAAGGAAAAGTCAAAGGCACAGAACGAGGAAACACTACTAGACCTGGTAATTAGTTGTTCATTAAAGACACTGAGAACTGATTGTGGTGATGACCACACAGCTTTGAATATGCCAAAAACCACGGACTTGGGGCTGGCATTTTGAAATAGCAGGTTGAGCTGCTGTCTGTTACACTGGCACTCCCTATGGGTACCGGTTTGGGTCCTGGCTTCTCCACTGACCATCCAGCTCCCTGCTAATGTGCCTGGGAAAGCAGCAGAAGATGGCCCAAGTACTGGGGCCCCTGCCACCCATGTGGGAGACCCAGATGAAGCTCCTGGCTCCTGGATTTGGGCTTGCCCAGCTCTGGCTGTAGTGGTCATTTGGGGAGTGGACCAGAAGGTGGAAGACTGATCTTGCTCTCTTTGCTTTTCAAATAAATGAAATAAATCTTGTTTTTTTCAAGATTGTAAAAACTGATTATTTTTCTTCTTTTTTTTAAAGACTTATTCATTTATTTGAAGTGTAGAGAGAGATCTTCCATCAACTGGTTCAATCCCTAAATGGCTGAAATGGCAGGAGCTGGGCTGATCCAAAACGAGGATCCAGGGGCTTCATCTGGGTCTCCCACATGGGTGCAGGGGTCCAAGCACTTGGGCCATCTTCTGCTGCTTTCCCAGGCACATTAGCAGGGAGATGGATTGGAAATGGAGCCAGGATTCAAATCAGCCCATATGGGATGCCAGCACTACAGGCGGAAGCTTTACCTGCTACACCACAATGCCAGCCCTGAAATAAATCTTTAAAAAAAAAATAACTCAATCGTACACTTTAAATGGCTTATTTAGCATATGAATTATGTCAATATAGCATGCACATGAACACATGAATGAACACACACACACACACCCCATTTTCACTGCGTGGGACAGCAGAACCACGAGGGCTGCTGAGGAATGAACAGGCTGCTGCTAACAGGCAGGGGCTTGGTCTTGTCCTTTGAGGATGAGTGATACCTGCATCCAGAAGGAAGGAAAGGAATCAGGAGACTGAACAAGCCGTTCTGAGGGGGTTAACTGGCCAAAGGATAATAAAAAACACAGTAAGAAAGTTAACGTTAAAAAGCAAGCTCTTGGGCTTAACCTCTGCTTGCGGTGTCGGCAGCCCATATGGGTGCCAGTCCCAGTCCTGGCTGCTCCTCTTCCGATCCAGCTCTCTGCTATGGCCTGGGAAAGCAGTGGAAGATGGCCCAGGTGACTGGGTACCTGCACCCGTGTGGGAGACCTGGAAGAGGCTCCTGGCTCCTGAGCAGCCCGCCCTGACCAATGTAGCCGCTTGGGGAGTGAATCAGCAGATGGGAGAACTTTCTCTCTGTCTTTCCTTCTCTCTGTCTGTAACTCTACCTGTCAAATAAACAAAGAAAAAAGAAAGAAAGTAGCTAGCTCCGGGGGTGGGGTGGGGCTGGCATTACGGTAAAGGTGCTGTCTGCAACGCAGGCATATCCCATATAGGTACTGGTTTGTGTCCTGGCCGCTCCACTTCCATTCCAGTGCCCTGCTAATGTGCCTGGAAAAGCAGCAGAAGATGACCCAAGGGCTTGGGCTCCTACCTGTATGAGAGACCTGAATGAAGTGCTTGGCTCTGGTACGGCCCAGCCCTGGCCATTGTGGCTATCTGGAGTGAATGAGTGGATGGAAGCTCTCTCTCTCCCTCTTTCTAACTTTTTCAAATAAATAAACTTTTTTTTTTTTTTTTTAAAGGAAGCTCCCTCTCTGAGAAGGGAAGGAAAAGTTGGAGGCAGATATAGAAATAACCCACAGGGATAACACAGGATGGGAAAGAACCTTAGTCCACAAGTGGACACATCATAACTACATTCACATCTGTTTGATCCTGCTGTCATCAGCCCAATACATGAAACACAATGAAAATACATGAACAGAACAGAAACAGACCTCTAAGTCACTCACTCCCCTGAAAAACTCTTGCTTCGATTCTGTAACCCTACTCCCTATTAGTTTTCAATCATCTTCTTACTAGACTGCGAAGTTAAAAATTTTCTCATCAGCAGCTTGTGATTACTGGGGAAAACACTGAGATTTCTGAGCTCCACAAAATGAAAATCTCCCTACAAATGAGCAGCGTGTCAAGGGGCTTCAGCAACATCTCTCACACACCCCCTTTAGATACATCGTCTTAGA